CAGGACACTGAACACTGAACATTGGGAATCCCCTGTTCCATGGCTGATTCGAGTAGATTGGATTAGTGTCAGTTGCCAGTGCAATCAACACACACACACACACACCAGCAACAAAAAGGAAGCAACAGTTGCAGGCGGAAAGGACACTGCGCATGTGCCCACACACAGGATTCGGATTCACTTTCGGACTTCAGAGTCCGTGTTATGTAAACAAACGGCAGTCGGAAGACTGACAGTGGCTTGTTCAGATGTTCGGAGAAGGGCTTGGCTTCCGGACCTTTGACAACATCCGTGTTCCGTCGCGTCCTTTAGGAGGCAAGGCGAAAATGCTGAACATGCCCTGGTAGGTTGTCCTGGTATCCTGGGCAGGTGTGACCCTTGTTGTATCAACCCGATGCCATGTCGTTTACTTTCTGTAATGAAACACCTTTTTTGAAATGGTATGCCAGCGAGATGTTGTCCCCACATTGCTTGTCAGCAGTTTCCAGTTGATTGCTAAAGGGTTCTCCTCAGCATCCACTCGGCATCCTCCAGGGCAACCCGAGGAACTAAACAAATATTTACTCTCCATAATGCAATAGTTGTCTATTGAGGGACAGCCAAGGGATTGGTTTTCCAGTTTGTTCAGGCACCTAAACACTTGCCTCGGATTCTGTTTTGTAGTTTGTTTAGCTCAAGGTTATTTTAAAGATGGCTTAGGAAGATGTTAGACATGTCCTTTTTCTTATATTTTAAGCAAGGTCTTCCTTAAATTTTTCCACCCAAGCCCATATCCTTTAAAGGTAAATCTTATGTAAAGTTCTTAAATTGAAGAAAACACTCATACGCAGTGTGTGCCAGGATAACGATAGTTGTCCCAACCGCAGCCTTGCGTGACCAACACTCATGTGTATCCTGTACATATTTGAGTGTTTGTGTGTCTGTGTGTGTGTGTGTGTGCTCTGATTAGAGCAAAATGGCGATGGAAGAGGGGAGAAGGACTTTGTGTTGCGGCTCTGGTTGTGTTTACATAAAATCAAAAAGTTGACACTAATTGAAATATGCCGGGGATTAAGAGCCACTCAATAAATGCCAAGCAACGAACCCTCAAACAGACGTCCTTTTGCCCTCCTGCCCCTCCTGTGATACTCCCCCCTGTCGAAGCTCAAGTTTCTCAACCACAAAACGTAAGCCATAAAAGAATATTATGCAAATTTGATGTTCCGCTCGAACACTTTTTAGCGGCGACCTTTCGTCCATCAGATCGTCGGGTCCACTTTCTTCGCTTAGTGGCTCGTTGATTGAATGGCCACTAAGTGCTTTTGGCTCATAAGCAGCAACAACAACAATAACAAATAAACAACAACAACAACAGCAACAACGACAATGAAGGACATTGCCAAGCACTTGAATTATGTCAGGCCCTTAGATGTATGCCATGATTTTGCGCTTTGAGAAATATGCAAAGATTAGTCAAGGTTCTCAGGGGAGCCAGGGAGTCAAGGAGTCAGGAAAATGGGATATTTATATTCCACAAAATAAAGGCAGCAATCTCTTGACACTTTTTTACCATCAGAGCATAAAAAACATAGTTTATTTCAATGGCCATAAATCAATGATTATGGGCTGGGAAAGTATACTCACCCACGCTTCCGATATAATCACAAAAAAATGAATAGCTCCCACATTAAATATTCCGGCACTGACACTATCTCCAAACAATTTCGAATATCTGGCCAAGCCCAAAACAAAATATTTACCATTAGCTTTAATGTGACGGCACAATTCCCCGAGTTTATTAAATTCGCGTAAAATATTTCACGCAAACCCAGTATAATGAACCTGCATTGCCAGTTGGTAATGGAAAATGCTTCTAGCCATGGCCCAAAACAGCAACCAAACAACAAAAAACACCTGCCCACTGGGCAGACAAATTTTCAGCTATAAATTTTGATAGCTGATTAAAAATAACGAGCGGCATTTTGCTTTTGTTGTCCCTGTAAATGGAAAATGATTGCAAATGCTTTAGTCCTGTGGAATGAGAGTGCGGAGGGATGGATATTTTTGTATTTTACCAGCTAATTTCTACAGGCAATTAATTTTTGTTAGGTGCTGCTGGATGTTTTTCTCGCAATGAGCTTATTCAGCAGAAAAGTTGATTGTTATAACCTTTTAAAAGGGTATATATTCTTGATCCGGATTAGCTCCCGAGTGTTAGCCGACAGTATTAGTCTCAGATATTGTTACTGTAGGTGTATGTATATGCATATTATGTTAGGATATCCTTTTCTTCTTTTATTAATCAGACTGGTATCTATTATTATCGACACTTACTAGATTGGAAGATTAGTAATGATTAGATAATTCCCATTTCTCAGAAACTACTCCTTGAACCAAAGTAATGGGAATCACATTGAATCACTCAAAATAAACATTAGTCCAGTCAAAGTTCATGAACTTTGTAACGCCCTTTGAGCTGCCCAGTAAGGAAACTAAAAGCAAACAAAATAGAGTGCTGAGGTGGAATAAAGTATGAACCGAAATCGAGGCAAGCTCACGATTCAATTAGAAACGAAAGCCACTTGGTAATTGAAAGTGGAACGAGTTGGAGGTCTAGGAGAACGAAGAGGCCGAGCGGAGTACCAAGGAGGCCCGAGGACAACCCATCGATGTCCTTTTAATTGCAAGAGAACGAGTAAGCCAAGTGAATCTGGAAGGGACTGTGTAAATATTGCTCCAACTTTCAGTTTGTCCAAGGAAAAGCAAGGAAACGTGTCTCTCCAAGGACCTCCCATAATGACGGAATGCCATTGGGCTGGAGACAGATTATTATTCATTACTCCGACCCCCAAAACTCCTCCTTCAGTCATTACTCCTGCCGAGTAATTGAAAAGTTTTCCCTCTGCCCCAGCCAACTACCCAGCCCAACTCCATTCATGGCTCATCTTCAGTTCATCTCATCAACATCGTTGGGTTCCCGAGACAATGGCAAATGCTCAATTTGTCACTTTCCGAAGGAGTTTGGGGGCACTGGGGGGTGGCTTCCTCTGGGGGCGTGGCTGACTGACAGATGATGCATGTGACTAAACGGAAAATGCTTCTTTTCCGTCAGAACTTTCCTCAATTTTTTAGCCCGCTTCCTTCCCTGATTATGATTGAGTTGATGTAGTTAATATGTTATCGACTGCGATGATGACTGGAAGGCATGACGGATGGAGTCCTGCCTTCCTTCATGCCTTTACATTGCTGTAAGTGCGCCCTGCCGGCTGTTTGTCTGATGCTCCATTTAAATCAGTTACAGGACTCCGCTGCCTGGAAGCCCAGACCCACACATTCCCATTCGTTTATTTGTCTTTTGAATTATTAATGCACTCGCTGAATGACTTCGTTTGCCGAAGGATTCATGGGCCAAGTCAACAGTTGTCGTCCTGGAAAGGTCCTTCAGAGCTCCTCTCTGAAAACCATGGTGGTGGAGGTGCTGATGATGCTGATACTGATGCCTATCTGGGCCTTAATCAAGTGGCTTTTACCATTCCGCGGCTCAGATAAGTTTAATTAAAAAGACCGCAGCATTCCTCGGCTAAGCGAGGGATTTTCGCTGGAAAACTATCTGCCATCCTTAAAACTTTAAAATTCCTCAAGGCCAGAAGGGAGAAACTAAAAATTGGAGGCAACAAACTTTTCTGATTTCGATTTTTATTGCAAACTGAAACGGAGGAGCGAGAAGTTAGGAGACCAAAGTGGGAAACGAGTTGCCAGTTCGGGCCGCTTCTTGGCAACAATTTCATTTCGGGGGCACTCGACTGTCCCGATTCTCCATTGCCATGCCTACGATCAGCCACTAGTCCTGCCACCCCACGCCCCATTGCAGTTGGAATTCTTTCGGGTAACCTGCACACGCAACCAGCAAGGATAACAGGAGGATAACAAGGATGAAGGGTGGAGCAGCAGCTGAATAAACATACAACCCAAACAATACATGTGGAGGTGAACCACTTGAACCACAAACATTTCGAAAGCCAGAAGTTGTTCCCTTTTCCAGTTCATAATTTATGCCAAACAAACACATAAATATTACCTCAAATTTATTAAGGCGCCACCACCATCCAGTCCCCCCTAACCACTCCACCACCCCAAGTGAAAGCTGACAACATCACCTCCAGAAAGGTGGTCGGGCACGCTTTCAATCCTGCTAGGCTGTTAATCTTTTTGCAACTTTCTAATTACTTTTGCATGGTGGAAACTTTTTATTTAGCTTTTCCAAATTGTGTGCACCACTGAACCACACGAGCACCCCCTAATCCTAACGCATCTTTTTACCAATTTTCACTAAACTGGACCACTTTCTACTCAACAGGATCTGCACTTTAACGGAGGAAGCCAGACGGAAGAGTGGCCAGCAGGAGAGACCTGCACAAAGTGACAGGCGAGAGCCACACAACAAGGTACAGGGCACGGCAGGACATTGGGAGGAGAGGAGAGCGGGCCGGTTGACAGGAGCTCAGCCAATAAAAGCCAACTTAGCTCAGTCTGGACCAAATTCGGACATGTAGCAACTCCAGCGGCAACCGCAGCAAAACAAAACTGCAAAAGTTGGGCTGCCACAGAGTGGCAAGCGGAAAAAGGAGAGCCAGGACGACCAGGACTGCCAGGACAGCCGGCGGAAGCCGAGGCTGAAAAGTTCCCAAAATCAGCAGACAGACCTCCGCCCTTTGAAGCCGGAACAGTTAGCAGTTACCAGTTGGAATTTGATTTTAACGCTTCTCTGTGTTTGGGGATCTGTGCTTCTGTTTGTGGCAGAAACAACCGTCACCAGAATTCAAATCTGTTGGAGAAGGAGCCCTGCCCCAGGAAGAGCCAACTTGAAGGCGACGCATCAATGGCCACACATTGAGATTGGCAGTGGCACAGGATAACTGGCAGCAGGACGAAGTGGAGCTGTGGAAATGTTCGCCACTTGCGGCGACACATGCTTTGACAATTTATTAACCCCGCACGGCACCCACTAGGCCATCCTCAACCCTTCACCCGCCATGGGTCACTCTGCACCCCCAGCACCACCGCCACTGGCCCTGTGGCTCCTGTTCCTGGCCATTTCCACTTGGCGGACGCCCTCCGTCAGCGGCTATCTGAACATTTTCATCAGCCACCACGAGGTGATGAAACTGATGGGTGAGTCCAGTTCCAGTCTCATTTCCTAATCCACTAATGAAACTTCGATTCGGGGCTGACACACCCCCTCCCGGAGCCAGGATCTACTCGCATGATTAATAGTTGGAGGCCGAAGTGCGACAGGACGAATTCATTGATCCCTGAACACGAAAACACAAACAATCCCCGAAGTCGCAGACCATGTCACAGCCATTAATGGCTACGAAATTATAGTTGACCATTAATAGAGGAGTCGGAGGGAGCAAAGGACGAGGGAGCAAGGATCTAAGGGCGGGGGGAATGAATAAGAATAGTTAGCTGAGCGAAACCAAAACAAATCGCACACAAATCGATTTCCGTTCTGGGCCTGAAATAAACGCCCTCACCTTACTGACAGCTGCAAGTAGCTTTCACCTCCTCCGTCGTCGTCCTGCGCCCCTCGTGCCTCGTCCTTCCAACTCCCACTTCCTTTAACAACCCCCTTCCTCTTCCTGCCGCCTTGTTTGTTTTCTTGTTTTTCCGTTTGTTGCTCCACGCGAATTCTTGTTATTGATGGCGCCGGCTCCAGATCGAGCCAAGGCCAGGTCCCCCTCCCAGAGTCCTGCTGATGGGAGTTACATAGATTTCATGGACGTGCCAAGGCGGAATGGCCTCGTGCCTGCCGTTTGGCTCGCGATTTTCCTGCTCCTCGTCTTGATTAATGGATCGGGGAATATGCCTCCGAGTGGGGAACTCGAAAACTCCAAAATATGGAGAGGAAGGAGCTTGAAAGAGGGCAGGAGCTGGCCTAGTTCGCGGCCGTTGCTTAGCTGGTCACAGCTTTTTCCGGCACTTGGCAATAATTGGAGCATAAATGCCTCCTCCTCATTATGCAGGCCCACCCCGCTTCCTGGTTGCCGAATCAGGACACTTCAATTAGTTGATGGCGTAAAAATAATCCCCTCAATGGGATGCGAGAGTGATGGATGAATGAGCGGCACTTAGTCGGGGGATTCTCCTCCATCTCTGGCTGCTTTGATGCATTTCCAATTGCATTAGGGATCAATGGCCAGAGAGGGCCATCTCCTGGACAACCACCCACCCTCGCATCCCCACTGGAACCTCCTCGGGCCAATGCAAATCGGATTTCATTAGCGACATTTCAAAAGCATAGTCTGCTTTGTAGCTGCTCCTCACAGCTTCCTTTGCTCGACTGGCTGTGATTTCTTTCAGGCTGCCTCGGAATTCCTCCTCCTCCCCCTCGAAGCTCGTTATGTTTTTAACGACCAGTTAGCACCCTTGGGTGACCTGCCCTTCCCCTGGAAGCACTCCCAGTTAGTGGTGGCTGCCACCCTTGAAGTTGCTTCGATTTGAAAATTAACAAGCAGCACGAAATCAAACAAACTGACCCTCCACCCTCGATTCAAATTCCACTGCATGATTTTCATCGCCCTGGCCCCCATTTGTTTGCCATTTCCATGGAAATCTGTTCATGTGGAAGGCTCCTCACGGTGGCACGAATCAGTCCCAATTTCAGGGACACTTTGTTGCATCCCCACATGGAAATGCGAATTCTGCCAACAATTGGTTGCACTTTATTTAGCTTCCTCGTCCTTCTGAGGATCTGTAAACAAAGTTCCTGGCTTTCTAGTTGTTTATTCTTTTATTTCCCAGTTGCAGAATCCATGAACTTTGGCTTCCCTTTCACCCCCTCTTCCCTGATCCTTCCATGAAGTGGCGACAACATTAAAATTAAATATTTTCTACGCTTTTGTTGAAGATTTTCCGCCTCTGAGTTCAATTTCGGTGTGTCGTCCCAGCAACGGGCAATTTTCCCTTGTTGCCACCGACACCGCCTACCCACTGCCCCCCACCCTCGTCCGCTCCAACACCCCCTCACTCCCACTTACCCCGCCCCTTTCCTGCTAAAGACTTTCCTGTTCAAGGGTGCGTAAAAATGCAATTTCAACAACTTTTTGCTTTCGCTTTGATGTGCACACTTTTTCTCAGCCACCCGATCCCTCGCCGCAGCCCCCCTCGGACCAGCATCCCCCTGCCCACCCTCCAGGGTGGACCGCCACCTCCGGCGGGCGAACTGAGAAATTTCCCTGCAAATGAAAAGTTAATGCAAAAGAAAATTATTTTTAATGAATAGAAAACAGCCCGAAAATCCCCACATTAATATACTCCCCCCCTCCGTCATTCGCTCGATATGTTTTCCTTTCGAAGGGTGTTTCGGCATAAGGAATCTGTATCCTTGCGGCCGAGGGATCAGGATGTCAGGGGAGGAGGTGAGGAAATCAGAAACTGTGCCAATCGAGCGAGCAATTCTCATCTCTGATTCATAGGACAATTAGCAGGAACTGACGGGGAATCCCCTTTAATCATCGCGAGGTGAGATTGCACTCCCCGGAGATCCTGCCAAAGGGGGGAGGTAATTAGGGAAAGGGCGGGATGCAGTCTCCCAACTAATGACACTAATTATCCTCTTAATCTTTTATGCAAATGGTGTCTCCTCTTTGTTGGCATTGCCAGAGATGACTCTGAGATTCTCCGGAGTCAGCCAATTCCTGCCAGTCTTCCCCTTTCCCCTGCCCCGACACCTTCTCCCTGAACTCTCACCCTGATTTGACCCCTTCACCCCGCTCCATAAATCTGGGCTGCGGTTGCAGCGTCACGTGTGTTCTGGAGTCATTCAGACAATCGCAATCGCAGGTATTATAATTAAGGCTGGAGAGAGCGGAGAGGACACAGAAGAGGGTTATAATGGCGGGGTGAGGCACATCCTGCCGTGGTGGAAGGAGTCCCCGGAACAGATAAAGGGGGTGAGGCAGGCATAAGCGCGACAAAAGTTTCCCAGGCAAAGTTTCGCGCCACCGTGATATGAAAGACGAACAAAGTTTGACACTCCCAGAAAGGGAAGGATACGGGAGGAGGATTCTTGAAGCTATCTGGAAAAGGATGAGCTTGAGTGGAAGGTGGCAGTGCCAATTGGTGCTGTTCAAAGTGCAGTTTGGGATTGCGCCCCAAAGAGGCCAATTCATGTGGCAGCCGTTACAAGGACTTGGGGAATAGGGCGATAGGACATCCCCAAATCAGGACTGAATTAATTCAGGTTGTCACAAGTGCAGTCACTTATTTAAGAGTCCCCTCTCCCGGTACATCCCCGCTCTATCCCTTGTCTCAGGACATGTCAAAGAAGGGTTCAAACGATGTCCTTTTTCTGTGTTTGTGCATATCTGATGGGCGGCACTCTGGGGTTATGTTTGTGTTTTGCCGCTTCCTCAAAAAACTCAGCCGGATTCAAGGAAGAGGCAGGGGAAAGTGGTGCACTTGGCCCACTCTGGGAGCCAGGTTGGGAACTCGGCGGGGCGCAAAGCAATTTGGGACTCGAAAACGAAACCGAAATGGAAGCAGGAAAACGGGAGTTTGGAAAATGGAAAACCGTAGCGTCTTGAGATGGAAATGAAGCCTCAACCTCTAGCCAGGATGAAAGCTAACGAAAAATGCTGTTTCTTGTTCTGTAATTGGATTTAAAATTGTTTTAAAATTGCGAGCTAGAGCTTTGTTCTATCCTAAATGCAGGCACACTCCTCCCGCCCCCTGCCTCCAGCCACCCCCCTTTGAGTCCGCCGGAAGCGGAATTGCTACATTCAACATCCGGCGGAGTCTCAAACTTGAAGGAAGTAAGCATTCCACTCCAATACCCACTCCCTTCCTCAGAATAGCGAGCTTGTCCTGATCCCGGGAAGTAAATAATGCACCCCACTGACGAGGGGGATAGAATCCTGTGACCTGAGACCTGAGTCCTGAATAGAAATAGGAAGAGCAACAATAAAGGCGGATGAAGAAATTTAATTTCACGTCGTTTTAACTCAAGCAGCTCGTCTTTCAATGCCAGTGGGTGGAGCACCTGAAAGAGATCAGGACTTTTTAACTCCGAGGAGCTGCGGAATCGGATTCCCTTCGATGACGAGGCATCGCAGCTGACACCTTTTAATGCGTCCTCTCCCAGGACTCCTGTCGCTCCTCGTTTCTCCTTTCCATTTCTTTTCGGGCTACTCCGGGCCACACCCTGCATCGTCGCCTGCCGGTGACGGATTCGATTTCGATTATTATTGTGTCTTGGGTTTTGTTTACCCGCCAGCATTGTCACCTCACCCACCACCCCCTCCTTCGCTAGTGAGAAAATCAATTTCCGCTTAATGGTGGAAAAAGGATAAGGGCGGACGCTCGAGGGGAGCGCAAACAGCAAATGCACAAAGTTTGCTCAGCAGCGGGAATTCCAGGCTCTAATGGAGGGGGAGTGCCCTGCAATTGCGGGAAACTTTCGCTTTACGTCTGCAGTGCATCCGCATTCACTCCAGTCTAATATCCTTCTCGCTTATCCCCGCAGGACTCGAGGCGGACCTGTTCTATGTGCACGAGGGAGCCATCAACACATACGCGATGCACTTCACCGTCCCAGTGCCCGCGGACATCCACGAGCTGGAGTTCTCCAGGCAGAGTCTCATCGCCTATCCGGTAAAGACGATTCAAATTATACGAATCGTATTATATGATTCATATTATACTATTATGAAAACTCATATTAACGACTTTGCATTCTTGCATTTTCCTATTCAAAACTCTTATCACAAAAATGTATATACATATGTACTTTCCCGAGCTATGGCAATCGGAAGGGCGAAAATGAGAAAATCGAAAATTCACTATTTTGAAGGGGTACCCCTAGGAAAAATTCGAAAAATTTGAAAACAGTATTAAAGGAAAGTTTTGTATGAGGGTTGAAGCTACTCGAAGCTCTAATCACAGAAATGTACGTATTTTCCCGATCAGATAAAAATTGGAAGAGCTATGGCAATCGGAAGGGCAAAACATGGGGAACATCGAAAATTCACTATTTTAAAGGGGTACCCCTAGGAAAAATTCTAAAAATTTGAAAACAGTATTGAAGGAAAGTTTTGTATGAGGGTTGAAGCTACTCGAAGCTCTAATCACAGAAATGTACGTATTTTCCCGATCAGATAAAAATTGGAAGAGCTATGGCAATCGGAAGGGCGAAAAATGGGGAAAATCGAAAATTCACTATTTTCAAGGGGTTCAATCCCTGAAACACCTCATTCAGTCAAGCCGCCCTAACCTTATAAGAGCTGGATAAGAGCAAGCCGCCGAGTTTGAGTAGCCGAAATTTGAGTCGTTCGTTTCTCAAAGATTTCCTACTACGCCTCCTCGCAACTGACCCAGGTAACTATCCCTTCCAATACCCACTATCCCCAGTCTCAGGGGGCCGTTCCAGATTGCAGAGGGGATGAGATTGGGATCCACATTTGAATCAAAGCCTTTGATATATTGGGGCACGTGGCAGGCGCAAATGGAAATGGAGATGGGATTGGTAATGGGAGACCCCTTGAAGCGGACTCTGCCTACCTGGTTGCCAGGACTACCTCTAATTTGTCCTCCATTGCTCCCCAGGCGGAGGACCTCCCCTCCAGCTGCCGGCTGGCGGCCGCCTTTCCTCGACGATAAAAATTAAATTCTAATTTATATTTACGAGCTGATAAAGCTCCCGTAGTGCGTTAAACTCGAAACAAGAGCCATTCATAAATATGCGGCTTTCCTCCCCTTCCCTCAGCATTCAAGGATGTCTGGATGCCTGGGTGGGTTACCGAATGGGGAAGGTAACTTTCGTGTGTCGCTCACGTACTCCATGTGGCAGGTGGCACGCTGCAAGTGGAGTGTGAAGAGTCCAGAGTGTGGGTGAAGGTGAAGGCGACACACAAACCCACTGCCTGGAGAGTCGAGTGCTGCGAGTGGTTGGGTTGCGGCAGGTGAGTGGAGGACTAAAGCAGGAGGAGGGCAACCTGTGAGATAAGCGAAAGGTGCTCCGCTGAGGCAGACACAGACAGTCTGCCCAAGTCGGTTATCATTGTTTTTGTTTCCAATCCAGCGAACCCCCCTTGGGCGAAAATTAACAAACTTAATCCAAACTAACCACTAACCACAGCCACTCTGCCTTAAAATCTATCCCAGTCCCTGAGGTAGCCATCGATGTGAAAATTATTCGAGACATCATCGGGATACTTAGAACCTCATATTTGGGGTCGTCTTCATAGAATACTCGCTCCCTCCAGGGAGAGCATTAGCACTTCTTTCGAGACAAGTTAACTTCTTGGTGTTGCAGGAATCTCTGCCAAATTGGAATAAATTATTTAGCAGCCTCTTCAATTGTTGTCCTTGTAAACATTCCTGAGACCCAACTCGGGATTTTTTCTAGGCCTTCTGGCCCATCCAGTCTGCCCCATCGCCATGATGACTTTGCCATTTTCGTCACCAAGTTCTAACGCAATTTCCATCGGCGCATAATTAAATATTCAATTTCCATGGAGACTGGAGGGGATTTTATGTGCTCAGCTTAAAGCATCCTGATCTCCGTATCCTGGCGCTGTTTGCCCAATGATTTCTGTTTGTTTAGACTTCAATTTCATCCTCATTATGGGATAGAGAGGGGGGCTAGTACTCATCCAGTCCTTACATGGTTATCTGGAGGCTCACAGTGCCAAGAGTCATATCCATTTGGCTCTATCTGGTGGCAGGACGAAGGACGAAAGCATCGAAGCAGGCGACAGGGAATTAAATGAATTCGCTCTTTCCTTCTCTGTTTCTCTTTGTTTCTGTCTCTGTCGCTCTGATTCTCTACAACCCGAAATTGGAGTGTAGCTGAAGATGCGGTTGGGGTCTGAGGGTGCTTGCCATAATTATTGTTGTTCCGTTTCTGTTCTACCAATTGAATGGCCCCCATGGCATAAGCTTCCCTGCCCCCAACCCCATCTATCCATATGTGGAGCGTTAAGCGAACTGTAGCGCAATTTTGGGGCACAAACAAGAGAGCCAGAGACAGGGGAGTCTGGTCTGAGGCGAACGCACTCATTTAGTCAAACAATTATATCCAAGTGCACACAGATACTCTCACAGACACAGACACACTCACACTCTCGCAGGTCCTGTGCACTTGTGTGGAAATATCTCATTTGGGTGTGGAGCCACCCTCTCCTTGTTATTCTATTAAATCAGTCTATAAACGCCGACCAAATGGCTTTAATGTGCAGCGAAAGTTTAGCAAACAGCCAGTAACAATGGGGATGAAAAGAGGGCTAAAAAAGAAGGATTCGAGGCGCAGATCCTGTGAGGGGGGAGATAGTGGGACATAACAATAAAAACAGCAGCGAACTGAAACCAGACTACAGCTGTTGAAACATGACTTTGTGCTTGTTTAGAAACACTTGCAAAATATTATTGCAGCACCAACAACAAGAGAGGAGGTGGCGCCACGGGGTGGGTGCGCCATGTGCTGCAAAGCAAAGGCATTAGTATATTGAATCAGCTGGGAGCCCCAAAGAGGAATCAGAGCGACAAGGGCCTGGGAAACACAAAAGGGGTTAGGGAGGAGCCAGGAGGAGGACAGGGCGGAAGCATCGTGCAACGCATCTGAATGGCATCATTACGCTGAAAGTTGTCGAAGTTGAAAGTGCGTGGGCGTTTTAGCCAAGAAAACGGAAATTACGAAGTCAAGGCTGAAAGGCTGGGAAATTTATTTCCATGGAGCTTGCGGCATGTCCTCCTGTTTTATGGAGATTACGGGATCGACAAATGGCAGACTAACCTGGCAGACCTGACAGGAGCATCGAGGACAGGCTGGAGGACAGGTGCTAATTAAAAATGTTGTTGTCGCCCCATTAAAGAAATTTGTAAATCAGCCTCCAAACGACGCGCACAGCATGACCAAAAGTCAGGCCCTCCTAGGGTGGATAGCTAGGATAAAAAAAAGGGGAGACTGCTCCCCAGTTGGAGCTCCCGGCACGTACTCCCTTAATGGATTTACCATTGTTGTTTCTTTTGATTAAAGCACATTACTTACATTTGTGCTGGAAGACTCTTGGGGGGGTTGGTCTTACGGAAATTATGTTGCCTGGAATAATGGATGTTATTGTTCAAAGGTTGACAAATTACCCAGGACTTGATACTCCTTTTCTTTTTTGTTATTTTTCAGCCTTAAACTTGCCATTTCCATTTCCCGGCGGACAAACTGCGGCGGAAGCTACCCACTATTGATTGTTTCCCGTCAGCCGCAGAGGAGACAATCGGAAGTGGCGGAAGCTGGCTCCGGTATGGACATTGCTCCATAGTTTTTGCGCCCGGCGGGTTACAGTGGCCTAGCCAACCGGCCGTCCAGGCATTAGAGAAGCCTAGCTCCCCCTGCCACAGAAGCCCCTGTTGATTCCGTTTGCGGTCAACAGCAGTTGGCCCTAATGGCTAGTGGCTGGCTCTGCACTTAATGCCCACTGTCAACTGTAATGGCGCAATCGAGGGCCATGATTAGCAAACAGTAATTGAAGACAAGGGTTTCCCATAAAAGTGGCTGCCGGGCCATAACTGGGTCAACTATATGGGCCTGCGAGGTTTCACATTCCCCGAGTGTTTGACGGGCTCTCCATTAAAACGTCAATTAGACTGCCGTCGATGGGGACGCTCTGTGCAATTAAAATCTCGATTTGCTGCAAATGAATTGCATCATTCAAATATTAATTGGCACGAAATCGATAGTCCTGATCCACTTAGCTGTTGGATTAAATTTCTATTTAATGATTGGTTGGATAGAATTTTAGTTCACACTTTAAACAGGACTTAAGTTCCGAAAACTTTTAAGAAAAATCTCAACCGCGTAAGGATAACAAAGTCACGGGAGTCAAGCGGCGACCTTGATTAAAGACCTTCGGGAAATTGAAATCCCGCGGGAACCGGAAGTTACAAGCGACAAAATTGAAATATAAACGCATGCTGTGCCACGCCCCTTTAGTCCACAGTGCACAGCGCCCCCCTGTAAAGCCCCCAGGAGCCTGGGAAAGGACGCCATGGTGCGACACCTGACTAATTTATGTTCATTAAGCAGGCGTTAAGTCGCCTTGAGAGCAGCTGGCAACAACGTGGAGCCTTCATTTGCATACGCTCGAGGGGATGGGTCCGGAAAGGGGTTACCAGGGTCAGGGGAGAAGGATGGGGGATTCCGTGGGATTCCCCAAAAGCTTTGCGCCCACACACACCCACAGAGAGAGAGAGACCAGACCAGGACACACAGCTGATTACATTTTACGTGCCGTAATGCCGAGGTGACAAACCAAAATATGTAGTTCCATGTAATTTTGGAAGGGTGGCCATGGGCGGGGGGAGGTGTAGAGGCGGACAAAGCCAGCCAGATGAAAGAAAGGCGAGAAAGGGCCCTGAAAGAAGAAAGTTGAGAAAGGGATGGGCAAAAAGAAAGCCAAGATTAATGCAAATTCATGTAAAGCATTAAACGGGAACACAGCAACATTTTGTGTGTGCATCCAAGTGTACATGTGTGTGTGTGAGATTTTGTGGATGTGTGTGTTAGTGTGAGTGTGAGTGCAAATAACCGTAAAGCTGACAAAAGAAAGAACACGAAAAAATCAATTTCCGTCGCAAAAGGCAACAGAATAGTCCTGTCCCCAAGTCCTGTCTCTAATTTGCGCTTAGTGCGTTTTCATGTCCTGCAGCTGGTGAAAATGACAGGAATTAAAGCCAGTATCCTGTCAGGCGCAAAAGGACTAAGCCTAGGAGTTTAGAGGGGGCTCTCAAAACTCGAAACCGAAACCAAAATCCCATCAAAATCTATCAAAATCGTTTACGCAAATCGCAAAAGCAGAGCAAGCTTTTAATGGCAAAAAAAAGGACTCTCTTACTTTGCACTATTTCTTTATATATTACACTGAAAGAAAGATATTATATGGGTTATGTTATTAAACTAAAAATCATAAACTTTTTTAAAAATATAGTATAAAAAATATTTTAAATATATATTTAGTTCTCCTTTTTTTGCTATTAATATTATCTTAATTTGTATAATTTTTTCTAAGTTTATTCAATAGCTTGCCTTTCGTTCTGCTTCCATCAACATCGCTCACACAGTGAAAGCTGCAAATCCAATAAGGGATGAGCTGCTGCCAGCAGCTTGGTGAAAGTTTATTAAAAAAAAAAGAACGAAAACTCTTCACACCCAAAGTGGCGCCAAACTGACAGCTTAGGTCACCACCCACTCACTGCCAGCCACCCGCTCACCCACTCACTCACACCGCCCGAATCCTTGGCGCACGCCCCTTTGAACCCAACAATGCCCCCAGGATGTCAGGCAGTCAGTCAATTGTAGTTTTCGTGGCTGTTACTCAAAGTTTTAATTACACAGTCGTTGCAAGGGCTCTCCTCCAGCGGAAAGTGGGACTTTCTTTTTTCGGATGGGCTGCCTGCCGACTACAAGGCCACTGGAACCGGGGGTTTGGGGGCTTCGGCTCTCTCGTCAGTGTCTGTTGCTCCAAGCCGGGCCAGATGCCTCCTCGAGGTACCATGTTTTTCGGTTCGGTTCGGTTCTGTTCTGTTCTGCATGTGCATCCTGTTATGAAGCGACAAGGATTTATCACCCGCAGGAGCTTTAAAGGAAAATAAAAATATATAAAAGAACTGTAAATAAAGGAAACTGAAAGGACTTTAATTAAAGTCCCTTCGCGGTACTTAATTTTTAGTTTTATTATTATTGCAACTCTAGTTGCATTAAATTTATTTTGTTCATCTCATTATAATGGAATTGCAAGAATATTGCCAAGAATCCTTGCCACTCCCGCCTAGAGTTACGCCCCGAAAACTTTTGGGCAATAAAAAGTCATTTGCCAGCCATTGGCGAGACGTGCAGCTCTGCGTTGGCTGCCAAAATTTCGAGGGAAATCGGAGGAGTGCCAGCAGGACGAGTCCCGGACACGACGAGGATCCATGGCAGGAGCCGGGAGCTGAGAGCCGGGGGACGGGGGGAGAATGTGTCGCGGTTTGTCAGCTTGGCGCGTCGCTTTTGCCGCGATGATGGAGTGCGGCATTGTTGCATTTTAATTGAAATTTCTTTGTGGACTTGGCGCGACAAAGCAGCAATAACAACAACAATATCAGCAAAAGAACAACAAAAATCGCTAACGAGCGCCCAGCAGAATGGTGGCAAATAAAAACGTGGAACTGTAAAGCGGTGAATCAAATAAAATAAAATAAAATGAAATAAAATAAAGGACTACTATTGTGGAGGAGAGAGAGACAAGGATGTCGCAGTGCCGGGTGCAATCACAAAGCAAACAAGGCGAAACACTGGGCCAATGCCAAAGTGGCAATACATAATAATGAATGGATAACGGGAACATAGCAATAACGGCAGCGGGAAATCCCCGTCAGGACATCCGTGGGGGTACACTTCAAGTGTCAGTGATTTTGAAGAGTCACTATGGAACTATTATTAGTCTTAATCCTTTAATCTATAAAATATTAAACAGAAATATTAAAAATATTACTATAAGCTTTAGCTCATCCCAAAATATCACTCATACGCCATGTTGGCCCTTTATTATTTACTTCAAGGAATTTATATTGAATTTATAGTTCTATATAGTCCTGCTATCTATAAAATTTGAAACAGAAATATTAAGAATATTACTATAACAGAAAATATTATAATGCTTTAGAATATTACTCATCCTAAAATATCACTCATGCGCCATGTTGGCCCTGTATTATTTACTTCAAGGAATTTATATTGAATTTATAGTTCTGCTATATTGTGGGATTGCGGTTAAAATATCCTCAAAGTGTATAACCAATTCCCGTTATTCAGCACTTTTAACCCATGATGGCCGCATACAGTTTTTTGGGTTCGAGGTTCGAAATCCGTCGCATTTTTGCGGCTCAACGCAAATATAATAATAAATTTTGCATATTGCCGTTGATATTATTTTTCATAAATGAAACTGTTGTCAATGCCAGGACCTCATCCTGCGTCTCCCTTACAATTATTTCTTGTTGTTGTCTATCCTCGCGGCTCGGTTGGCCATTGTTGTTGCTGTTTTTATGCGCATCCTGTTTGGCTTTTTGTCACCGTTTATTGTTGTTTTTTTTTTGCTCTGTCCGTTAACAGGAGTTTGGGGGTTCACATTGCGGTCACTTTATTGTTTGCCCGGATACGTTCCGCCACATTTCGAAAAGTGCCCCGAAATGCCAAAGGATGCCGTAGGAGGAGACCTGGAGCACGGAGCTTGGTAGGATGGAAACCACGTAATTTGCCGTCTGATGAAGATTTACGACATGAAAGCCGCAAAAATAAACGCCGAATACACGACGACGGCCACACATAAAGCAACAAAAAGCAAGGCGCCTCACTCCTTAAAGCGCAACTGGGATGGGGAGTCCACCTCCGCCCATCCCAACACCCACAGAGAGACCCATGATGGATGGCCAGACGGCTGAACCCTATCCGAGTATCCACAACTTCCTGGCCACCATTCTCCCCTCGGTCATTTATGTAAATTTGCTAAGAAAATTAAGCCGAAATGAAGAGATTTGTCTCGGCTTTATTAGCCAAGATGTAGGGAGTCTAGGCGCCAGAAGTTCATCTGCAAGAGCCAGGCCAGCAATTTGGCCCAGCAAAATGTCCCTCCAGGGGCATCAAACTGGGCCAGGACACTTTCATATCCACTGTTCAAATATCTATTATATTAATTAATGATGAAAAATTTATTAATTCTTTAGGGATTAACTTAATTTAGAATAGCTATAAACTTGAAATTTTTAATCGACACTTTTTTTTAGTCCAAAGTATTTCTTTCACTGCATATCCTGTAGGATTTGTGGGCGTTAACGAAGCTCCTTGTGTATTATATGTGTGTGTCCCAAATGAGGGGGCGTGGTGCATTCCAGGACCAAAAAGAAGAACAAACAAGAGGCCCAAGTACAGAAACACGGATGCAGCATGTCTCATGTTAGTATCTGTTTTTAATGGCAACTCCATTAGACGGAATGGGAGCACCATCCAAGGCCGGATAAGAGCTGCCCGGACTGCCGGATCCACCCCATCTCCCCGATTCTGCTTATGAATACTCCTCCGATGCGGCGACCTGCTTGTCCAATAAATAATTCATGTCTGCCCAGAAGAGCCACCCAACCGCCGGACATTTGCGAGCCTAATGCGGATGCAGACAGAGGAAGCTCCGAACGAGGAAACGGATGCGAGATGCAATTCACAGGACCAAATGAACGGTTTAATGCATGCATTCAGGACCCCCATGTTTGCCCACCATCTAAAATAACACATGCCGCACTCCAGGCCGCTGGAGGTCTGAGCCCGAATCCCTAATGTAGGGATTAAATTATTCTATTATCAGTTTACAAAAGGATAAGCCCCAGATGAGGAAGATGTTGCATTCGATCGCCAATTAGGCAGGAAGTTTGCTAATTTGGTTTATTCCATAAGCTAGTAAAATGAAATTGCAGACTTTAATTCTAATGCTATAGATTTTCAATCATAAAAAAAAGTTTTCTTTTCGGTTTTAATTAATGAATTGGTTTTAATTATTAACAATGCTTGAAAAATTATATTTCTGTTGAAATTAAAATATAAATTGGTTTCACAAAATTGAAAACTTCATTATATATTTTCTAAATACTTAGTTTTTATTTTTTCTGTTATTTAATTCATTTTCTAGGGCTTTATTAATATTCCTTTTATGGAATATATGAATGTATCTAAATATATAACCAGTCTATTATAAGAAAATATATTGACTTTCTTTCGGGTTAATCTAATATATATTTTTAAAGAAATAAAACACTATAGGGTTGTTGTATCTTAAATCGATTAATTTATATTCAAATTAAACAAAAAGTTATACAGTTTTCATATTATAATAAAAAGTTAACCATTACCAATCATAAGTTATTCAATTTTTAAATTCTTAATATGCAAAATAACCGAAACTCTAATATTTTTAAGGGATTCCAGAGAGTTGAGAATTGAAAAAATATATACATTTGACGTTCTTGTCGGGTGTGAGCTCACAGAAAAGACGAGACCAGTTTTTATTATCACACGGCAACATCTTTCTATCTACATTACAGAAGATACAAGTTAGATCTAAAATTAACTAGGATTTGGCATTGAGTTTGGCATTGGTGTGAGCCTCTTCGGGAGCTTGAGGGCCCATAAATTCAGAGTTGTGAGTCCTGGGGGACTATTGCAGCTTGAGGAGTACATGGCCGGCATGCCGTTTGTACAGGACCAAGGACATGTTGACCAGAAACGGGGCGGCCAGCCAAAAGAGTCGTGTTCCGATTCCCGTATCCTCGCGATGAAAGATGCCCGAGGCAGCCCCCCTTCCCGTATTGCAGAAGGACTCCTCGCAGCAGGAGGTGCAGGCATATAGTTTGGTCCTTTCGCCAATGATAATGCAACCTGGCTCACAGTTGGCGGCACAGCGACGGTCCAAGGACCACATCTTGGGCGAACTGGTGGAGTTCTCGGTGCTGGTGGTGTACGAAAAGCGCTTGACCTAGGAGGGAAAAAGGTTATATCGAAGTGGTCTAACCGCAGAGGACTCTCCCACCTACCATGCATATAAACTCCTCGCCGTGGCACTTCTTCATCAGAGCCGTGTCGTTGCGAACTGCCACATCCACGCACGCCTCGCCGTCGTCCATCGTGTGGCAAGCATAGCACCACAACCGGTTCACCCGCTCTATGGCCGCTGCCGTGCGGTGGATGTGCCCGCTGGTCAGCGAAGTGCTCGGCCCTGGTCCTGGCGAACTGGTACCCGTAACTGGAACAAGCACATTATTGATTTTTCCACTCCAAGGTCGAGCTGAAGAGCTCCGGGGTACTCCATTTACTCACCATTGTTGACGCAGGCCGTGAAAACGATGGACGAACTGGTCAGCAGGAAGTAGAGCAGCGTAAAGAATGGCCGGAGCATCCTGCTGCTGACCTATCCGTCCGATTATTTGGCTAATCTACTGTGGTTGGAGTGGAGTCTGCTGCTCAGCCCCAGTTTCTTGTTTACGTGCCCCACATACCTCTGCCCCACCAGCAACCGTTTGTCAGATTTGCGAATGTCAGAACTGAATACAGACGGCAAGGACATGCGCAGTGGTTTTCGATTTTCGGGATAAAAATACTATATTATATTTTGGGATTTTTTAAATCGAAATATAACGGTATTATTATTAAAAAACTTTTAATATTTATAGTTCTCGGTTTACAGTAAAACCTCATTTAATTTTATTTTATTTTTTTAATTAACGAACCAAATATCATCTTTAACGATCTACCATTGGTTGGTATTTTTAAGGACAAAAGGACATTCAAATTTTGAAAAGTAAACTGAAGAACAATTCTGAATCTATTGATCAGTAAAGGCGTAGATACTGCAATGCCTGACGACTCTGCATGGGATAGAGATCCCCTACGTTGTACATGAGATCCACCACATGGGTGGGCCTCAGCATGCGCCAGGGCATGAACTTCAGGGTCTTCTTGTCGCAATGCACATCGCGATCCTGTTCGAGGGGCAGGGGCACCTCATTGTACAGCATCCTGCCGTCGACACTGCGCTGCAGGGTGCAGGGCAGGCCGATCTGATCGGCCATGGCCTTGAAAAGGATCGCCCTCTCGAACTGGCAGCCACTGCGCACCATTCCAATGGGAATGAAGTTGGTGTGGTAGACATACCGTAGGTCCAGCAAGTGGCAATGGACTGCGTGGCGAGAGCACTCCTCCGTGGAGTTGAGATCGAGGATCTTTAGATTTTCGTTCATCACTGCGGCCACCGCCTTGGCGACCAACTTGCTACGCTTGGCCACGTTCTCGAAGTCGATGGAACGACGAATACGCTCCGGGTTCTCCACAAGGCCATGAACCTAGTTGGGGATTAGATAATCAAGAACTTTATCAAAGCAAGAGTAAAAATAAAACAAAATACCCACCCCCATTGTCTGATTTAGAGCCTCCAAGTACTCCGGCAAGTTTGGATCCCCTGGACGCTTGCAGTATTGCCAGGCTTGGTCTCCAGGAGTATCTGAGATTGTGCTCAGACATCGCAGTGGGACATCGACCACATCTTCGGAATCTGCAACGGGACGATCAAAGTTAACCACCAACACAGCATCCAAAGGAGAACAGTCGCTGCGCAGGATCTCTTGGAAGGCGCGGAAGTCCTCGAACTTCTTGCGAGAAACGTAAAAGTCCTTGCCAGCCGTAATGTCCGTGAAGGTGAGACAATTGCGGATGCAGAACTTCATGGTGGGGCACTTGGACAGAATGCTCTCGATAGCAGGACCCCAGGTGGAAACGCAAAAGGCGTGCTTCTGGTACTCCATTAACCTGTGGTCGGCAGGATAAAAAGTAAGGTAGCCCTAAGGATCGAAAACTAGCTTACACTTCCAGGATACCACGGTCTATGTAGGCATCGATAAACTCATTGAAACGAGTGGTTTGCAAAATAAAGTTGGTTACTGCGGTCTTGACCAAGTTGGACAACGATTTGAGGGCTCTCTTGAGGGAGGAAACAATGTAGTTGTCCAGAAGGATCTCCCGTACTGGCTCCTCGTCAATCAAAGTGCACAGACAGCGGAATATATTATTCACCAGGATAGAGTGCGAGTAGGACCGCTGAGGAAGGAACACCAATATCAGGGATATCCTTCAGTTAAAACTACAACTTACCATCAGCAACTGGGCAAGCTGCTCTGACAGGGATCGGTATTCACCCAAGATGGTGCGATATTCCTCGTTTTGGGCCAATGTCTCTATCATGGTCAACAGCGCGAGAATCAAGTCAATGGACAAGGCGGGCAAGCCCTGAGCTAGGACAGCAGTGAGTACGACAGCCACTTCTTGTTCCTTTAGTTCGGCTGCCGTATCCCGGAAAGCGGCCACCAACAAACGGGCTATCAAATCCGCTGCCTGTTCCCGCGTCTTGATGGGCATCTCGGGAGAGAGAAGAATGGTTACCAGTTTACGGATCGCCCCCGCCTCGTATTCGGCCACAATGCGACGCAGTGCCTCCGGATACAGGGACATGCGGTTAAGGCCCTGTATCACATAGGCCGCCGGTCCTGGCTTATTTTGCATCAGACAATTCAGGAACATCTCAGTGATCTCCGCCTTGTGCATCCTGGCCAGGAATTGCTCGTACTGAGCCGTTTCCGCAAAAATCGCGATGAGACTACAACGCAGATCCATCGGCAGGATATCCATCTGAGTGCGCACCTGCTCCACCACCAAGTCAAAGAGATTCTGTTCGAAGAAAAGTTTGGTCATCTTCTCGGAACGCAAAGCCGTGGAGAGGACATCGACCAGGTCGAAGGCATCGGTGCCCTGAGGATTATCGCAGAATGCCTTCACCAGCTGGTCCAATGCAGAAAAGCAGCGTTGAAGTGGCTCGAAGACACTGTCTTCTCCCGTGTCAGTCAGGAGGGTCTTTAACGCCTTGAGAGCAGCCTTTCGAATCTCTGGAAACTCATTGGTCACCTCGCATATGATCCGATCCACGGGGAAATCCGGTTGTGTCGTAAATTCTAACATCTGCTCTGCGGTCTGGACCAACATCAGTTTATGCAGGACCTCTATGGAATTGAAAACTGTATCCGGATTTTCTGAGTTTACAAAAACGAGTTTAAACTTCTCAAGGAACTCGGTGGCATCCACGGTTTCGTGGGCCATCTGGGGATCCCGCAGGCACACATTTAAAATGTACGTCAAGTACTCAATGCAGAAGTCATCCGCCTCTTTCATAAAATACCTGCAGGCCAATTCCAGGATCTGTTTGGCCTGTTCCGGCTCATAGGTGGCCATCTCCGTGTTGTCCAGCAAAGCGGTCAGGAGATACAAGGCAAACCTACGGATCATCGTATTCGTTGCTGAGATGAATAATTCTTTTTCGAGCAGCAGCTCCAGTAAGCGATGCGCCCTCAGCTCCAGGACATTCATATCCTGCCGGCGAGCAAAGTCAGTGATGTGGCTGAAGACAGTCAGCAGGACGCACTCCTCCTCGGAGCTGAGCAGCAGGAGGGCCGTGTCCAATTTTTTAATCGGCACATTCAGCTCTGTGAAGGATTTCTCCTCGGACTTGGTCCGATCCGGATAAGCGGATTTGGCCTCGTAAACCCGTTTGGAAATACGAGACATGATCGCTTAGTGGATTTTGGGAAAATAACAAGTAATGAACAAGTTTTGATAGACAATTTATGCTTGAATTAAGGATACTTTTACAACTAAAGTTACTATGATGAGAATAACAATAGAAAATTTTAAAAAGGCTGAAAATATTCATTAAAAAGTACATAAAAATTGAGGTTGAGGTTTAAGGCTTCTTTAAGCCTTTAAGAAACACATGTGATATTTACATAGTATTAGACTATTTATTTGGTAAATATTATACATAGATAACGTCCCAAATTTCACCCCAGTCAGAGTTATCTTTAAGATACAAACATATTTTCTAATTGCCAGACTGTACTCCAGGTACTGAGATTTCAAAACCCACCCCTAAATCCCAAATGCTAACTACATTTTCACCACGATAATATCAAAACAATAGAATACTTAATTTATTATAAAAAATAATACTAAATCATTTTATATATAAAAATTATAAGCTAGTTAGTGAAAATAAAATTAAAAAACAGTAACAATTGATGCTAAGTTCATTTAAATTTTAAAATGCCAACGACGAAATCGATAGACAAGCGGGCGATATCGTTATCGATCGCTGGCAATGTACTAATTTTCCCTAACGCGTGTTTGAATTTAACAAGCGAACGGGGTGGAAAGAGGAAAGAGCAATAACGCGACGCCAGTTAAAAAAATTGCTGTACACTATATCGGGATAAACACAAATCGAATTTAGGGCGCTGATCGCAGTGATCTCTACACAAAATCCCCCAAAAAATGCCCCGGGCAACGAAAAAGGCGAAGGAGAAGGAGACGGCGGAGCCAGTAGCGCCCAAAAAGCGTCAGGCGCCTTCCAAGAAATCCAAGAAAACTGCAGCCACCGCGGAGAAGGAAAATGAGGTGTCAGGCCAGGATCACACCCAGGCCGCCATAGATGGATCCCAGCAGGCCGTGTATGCGTTGATGCGACATGCTGAACACAAGGAGTCCATGCACCAGAAGTACGTGAAGGAGATGCAGCATCTGTACACAAGGGTAAGCGCTGAGGCGTCTCCACATCAATACGCTCAATTGGGAATTACCCGAATTTGAATGAATTTCCAGATGGGACACGAGGCCTTCCTAGCCACCTTCATCGGGGTTCTAAAAGCGGTCCTAGAGGCGGAGGAAAACAACGAGAATGGCAACCGTGCTCTCAACTTTTGCGCCGCCTTTGTTTCCAGCTTCGCTTCGGAGCTCACACATCCTATGCTGCCGGAAACCTTCCACTGGCTTCTCACTGTGAGTAGCTACTGTACTTAGCCTACTTTTCGGGGCACTAATATTTTATTTCCATCCAAACAGACCTATTCCGGCAATCCGTACATTCGTTATCGCATGTGCTACTTTGTGAATCTCATACTGAAGGTATTGGGCCCAAATGCGGCTCTGGACGACACACAGTGCGACGAAATCCTTGACGTGATGTTGGAACGTGTTAAGGACGTTTCGCCAAGCGTGCGAAAGCAAGCCGTGCTGGCCATGCAGCGTCTCCAAATTCCGGATAACCCCAGCGATCCTGTGGTGTGTGCCTATGTATATCATCTGTCCTCCGATCCATCGCCTAGTGTGCGCCAGTGCATCATAACGTGTATGGGAAGGAACTACATTACCGTGCCTCACATCCTGCAGCGTCTGTGGGATGTGGACGAGAAGGTGCGTCGTCACACGTACCTCAATATGTGTAACTATCCGGTCCGCTCCTACAAAGTGGCTCAGCGGCTCACCTTGCTGGAGCAGGGCCTTAACGAGAGCTCGGCCAACGTACGAAAAACGGTGATTAACTTTATGCTCAAGGCCTGGATCGAGTCGTACCAACAGAACTTCATCCAACTGACGGCGGCCCTAAAGCTGGACTCCAACGAGGAAGAACTGCTTCGCTTCCGTCGCGTTGCCAAGCAGATGCTGCGCGTAATCTTCGAGCAGACGGACATTGACCAGCTAGTGGCGCTGCTTCCCCTGAGCGACGACTGCGAGCTGCATCGTTGCATCCCCCACGAATCTCTCAATGTGGAGCTGCTTCTCTACTGGCAGTGTCTTAGCGACTATCTGGAAACCGTGCCGCAGGAAACGGACCCAGTTCTGCCGGAACTGAGTGTTTTCTGTACTTACGTTGAAAAGTAAGACTTCGATTTGATATTTTATAGCCTTGAACCCTTCTAATAAGTCTGTTTGCTCTTGTAGATTCTGCCAGTTTCAAAAACCTGACATGGACAAGTTTGCCCAAGTGGAGTTCCAAAATATGCTGCTCTCTTTGGTGGAGATCTTGCAGTCCTACGACCTGGGCGATGAAATAGGTCGTGAGAATCTGCGAAAGCTGATCCACACTCTGCTAAAAGACTGTCTGCTAGACCACAAAATTGTCGCAGTTTTGGTCCGGTGTATGGAACAGCTGGAGACCGACATGAACGACAGGATGCAGTTCTTCATTGAGATCATCTACGATCTGTGCGAACTGAATACCAAGCAAAATGAGCTTGTACACGACCGAAATCTGATCAATAAGTTGCTGGACGACTTGGACACGCCGCTCAAGATGAGGATAACTGCTTTGAAGGTTAGAATCCTGGAGCTGGAGGAACAGGAGGACACGTTCGTGCGTCAAAAGGAGTACATCCGAGCCCAGGCGGTAACCGAGGAGAAGGCAATCGCCACCGAGGACTACACGGAGTTGATACGTCCCCTGCTTGAGCGGCATGGCGGCCTAGAAATGCCAGCCCGTCCCAAGCTCTCCAAACAGGATCGCGTTCTCAAGGGATTGTACGTTTCGTACTACATGGTGGCCTCTCCGCATGTCACCACGCTCACTCCGAGCATCTGTCAGCTGTACAAAGACTTCATCTGCCGCTACTTGCACTCCACCGAAGTGGACATCTTCGAGTGGGCCATCAAGTGCGGAACCAGCTACAGCATGTTCTACGAGGCCTACGCCAAGGAGGTGTTTGAGGTTGTGGTGGAGCAGTTCTGCAACAACAATGTGGTGCGTCTGTGCGAGACGGCAGCCAACTGCATGCTGGAGATGTTGGACCACCATGGCCTGGAATACTTCAGCGAGTTCAACCAGGGTAACGGCGGAGGCAATACCAGCCACCTATCCAAGTCCAAGCGGCGCCAGTTGTACAACATCGACCTCTACGATGATGACGACGATGGAAGCACATCCCAAACCAACGAACAGACCACCGACATTATTGTCGTCATGTGCCACTACATGGAAAGGGTGCAGAACAAAGGCGTGGGTGTGGCCATAGCGAGGGGCCTCTGCCGGCTGGTGCTCCGCGGGCACCTGGACGACCGTCCGGAAGTGCTGGAGCTGCTTCTGAAGCGCTACTTCAACCCGAACACGGAGCCCATCATCAGCCAGGTGCTGGGCATGTTTTTCGAGCAGCTGGTGGCCCGCAAGCAACAGCAACTCCTCCAGCCCTGCCTGCTGAACACCCTGTGGCTGATCATGAACTGCAGTTTCGACTCGCCCCTAAACGGCGTCCAGCCGGATCATGTAACCAAGTTCTTCATCGACCTGACCCTGCAGGAATCGAGCACCCCACAGACGAATATCCACAACAAAATCGCACTGAGTTTCCTCCACTACATCCACAACTACTTTACGGAGCGCAAGGAGATGTGCCGTCTGTTGGCCAAAGAACTGACCAATCTGAAGGTGAACGTCTTCAACGGGCCGGACATTAAGAGTGAAATGCTCGACATGGCAGACAAGCTGATCGCAGTAAGTGTTCTCCAACTATTGGTCTGGTTAGGTCCTACATTTAAGGTTTCCATCTTTGTAGAACGAATTGGAACCGCGCATGACAAAGAATTTCGAGGACTTCAAGCTTATGGTGAATGGTAGCTTTAATCCGCCCGCCCGCAAGAACCCGGAGGACGGCGACAGTGATGACGACTGTGACACGGCCACAGTTACCACTCTACAATCTGAAACTGTGGTTCCGGCCCCGGCTACAGCTACAGCTCCTGCTGCAGAACCAGCTGATCCCAATCTCGAAGAATCTTCAACCGAAGCCACACTGACAAACTCCAATAAGGACACAACGACGCAAGAGAGCGAGGAAACAGCCCAGGTAGCCGCGCCTGCAGCCCCAGCAGCTGCCGAGACCCCAACGCCCGCCGCAGAGCCCATCATTACCACCTTTGGGCGAGACAACATTGTAGGACTTCGATACTTGCGACGCTCCTTGGCGGCCAGCCAGTCGGAGGTCGAGGGAATTTTGGGAGAGCAGGCATCGGAAGCTGAAAAAGAGCCAGAAGCAGAAGCCCAAAAGGAGAAGACTCCCGAAGCGCAGGCGGTGCAGACATCCAAGAGGAATCTCCGCAGGCCGCAAATGCAGCGTCGGCTGGAAAGGGCCATGGCCAGGTCATCGAAAACCCCCGAAAAGACTCTGGAGCCGCAGGATTCAGAAGCAGAAACCATTCCCGAGAGTCCTGTAAGGGCAGAAAAGGTAAGGGATTGTAATTCTAATCAGGATGTAGCAAGGATATTAACTTTTTATCATTTCAAGTCGAACGATTCTGAGGTCATTGACGCTTCTCCAGTCGCTGCCTCTCCGAATGCAACCAGCGCTCCCAATGCCAGCCACGTGCGACTGCGAACGCTGCGAAATCGGAAAGCCCCGGGAGCATCCACATCCCAGACCACCACAACCGCAACCGCCGCCAGCAAAGTGAGTAATGTGCGCATGCGCTAGGAGCTGTAGTCACTCGAAAAGGGATTCAGGCAGCAAGAGATCCACCTCGTTGGGAAAGGACAAGCACACTTTGTTTAGTTTAAGCTTCAAGTTGCAATCTACATTAACAATCAACAATGTTTCCAAAACTGAAATCCAATACGTTGTTTCCTTTAAGTCTGCAATGTCTTGTCTGTAATGATGCACTAGCTTAGAATCTCGCATCCCTTGGGTTTCCTGCTTCATTTGTTTTAAACGTTCTTTTTTTTTTTGTTTCCTTTGATTTTGTTCTCCTTAGCGGAAAGTTTTGGCCCTGGAGACGCCCATGCGGAATGGCCGGAAAAGAATACTCCGGCGAACGAGTAGCGATCACCACTCCCGATCCTTCCAGACAACTGGCTCGCCAGCCTCCTCCTCTCCTCGCAACTCTCCGCTGCGCAAGCAACAGCGCCTGGACGAACGGAGCTCTCGTCGGGAGCGATTGGTCCAGAACACGAACAGTCCAACGGAGAGTACTTCCTCGGTGAAGGAGAACCGGATGCCGCCCAAGGCAGCCGAAACGGAGTCAGAGTCGGAAAAGGAATCGGAAGCCGAGGAACCTGTGCCTAAGCCCAAATCCACCAAATCCAAGCAGCCCGTCAACAAGACCCTAAGCTCTGTGAGAACTATGCCCAGCAGCAGCACTCCCAAGGCCTCCCCGAAGGTGACCACCCGGAATGCGGCGCGAGCCCAACGAATCAACTCAATGTGCATGACCCGCAAGCGGATGTCGCTCGAGATGAATCTCAGTGGCGGTCAGCTGCAGGTGTCCACACCCAAGCGGGTCACCCGGGCCGTCGTCGCCTCAACATCCCTGTCCGGGTCGGCGGATAGAACGCGGGGTCGTCGGAAAGCTGTCTAATCTCTACTCAATGTTCTGGTTCAATCTGTACAATATTTATGTAATTTAGCGTTGTAGGTACTAACCATAGGGAATATTTTTAATAAATAATCGTTTAATTTAAAATTTAAACCCCTGGAGCGTTCGGTTTTATAAAATGGTTTATAATTTATTGAAAATATCCGTAAATGCGTATAATTGTGTATTTTGATGCTGCTGGTAACTGGCATGGGAGCCAGCATGCTTCGATAAGTACATGCTGAGATTCGATCGATACGAATGAAGAGCAGTGATTACAGATTAGTCCTTAGGGCTACGAGGGATGGTTACGGGGGTTAAGGCAACGACGGTCGTTTGGAACATTTCCAGGTGACGGGTGGTGACTTAAAATACAATCGAGGTTCGTTCGAGGAGGGGGGGGAGTATTAAAGTTTAAGGCCATTGAGTTTGTGGGCCGTCGTGTGCAGATCCCATTCGTGCTGCTGCAGGGCCGCGAAGGAATCGGCCAGACTGAGATTCGCCTCGCTGACCAGATTCTGCAGCTTGATCAACTTGATGGACTTGTGGACATCCCAGTTGATGAACTCCAGGGCTCCCAGGCAGCGAGTCGGAGTGCTCTGTGGAAGAAGGCGTTAGTTACCCTTTTTTTTGGAGTTTCTGATAAGAAGTATACTCACATCCTTTCCCAATACTTTCACCATGATGCGCACTTCATCCGAGTCCACGCCGCGTTCGCAACCCTTCGGTTTCTTGTCGGAGAACTCCAACAGGTCTTCGCAGCTCACGGAGTTGGAGTCCGCCAGCCGTGCTGCTGTGGCTGCGAAATACTCGGCTTCAGTCTGAGGCTTTGCGGTGGCTACTGGCTGGGTAGGTAAGCTGGTCTCTCCTCCAATGGAGTTCCGACTCATGGCCATGTTAACGGAGGCTCGGACCTTCTTGAAAAGCGCATTCCCCGACAGCTCGTTGTCCGCACTGGAATACCGGCGACTTGCCGCATCCGGAGCCACTTCTGCCGGTGGCTGGGCATCCTCCGACTCCACAGCACTGCAGGTGCTAACCGGAGTGGCTGTCTTCCGGCTGCCTTCAATGTCCAGATTGCGCAGCTCGTCATCGGGGATCTGATCCGCTTCCTTGCCCTTGTTGTAGTGATCCTTCTGGATGGAGAAGTTGTAGAAGCCATCTGTGACGTCGGGCGACTGCAGGATCCCCTCCTTGCTGGAATCCGACTCCAAGATGGATTCAAACTGCAGCGAAGCGGTGTCTGTGAGTCCCGCAGCGTCGGCCGGGGCGAGCTTGTCCAGATTCTGGTAGGTGTGACTTGGTTCTCCACCCACAGAAGGCATGTTCTCGTACTCCCGCTCCGACGGACGCACCGGGCGCCTCATGCTGCTGGGCCGGACTGCCGCCACCACCTCGATGGAGCGGCTCTTCTGAAGCTGCTGGGATGGGGAGCTGGTGGATACATCGTTGGCTTTCCCGGATTCATCGCCAAAGTCCGCCAGCTTGCTGAGGGTTCGTTGCAGCCCGTTGGCCGGAATAATCAGCGGATACTTGCGCACATGCCGCTTGGTGCTGGTCTTCACCTGCTTCTTGCCCTCTCGCGGTGGCAAGGGTATGGGATTAGAGGCCTCGGGCTCTGGTAGCTGCTCCGGTTGCTTCTCCGGTTCGGGGAACTTGTAGCTGCCGTGAACCATGTAGCTGGGGCTCTCGCAAGCCTCCAGCGATGGCGAGTTGGCGTTGGCGGTGTCGTCATGCTGGCGCCCCAAGGTGGCGGAAAACTCTGCCTTCCGCACCCGCTGGGCAGCTCCACGGGTGGGCAGGGTCATGGGTCGCTGCGACTGGTGCAGGCTCTGCAAGTCGAACTCATCGGTGTCCAGATGGCGGAGCAGAGTGGCTGCAGGACTGGGTCCGATGTCTAGTAGGGTCTTCCTCTCGATGAGGCTATTGTAGGCCTCGAGTCCCTCCTTTCCTATCAGCGACTGTCGGGGGAAGGGGAATAAAATTTAAAAAAAAAATTAAATAAAAAGAACTAAAGGTTAAAGGTTACTAAAATATGGTAACTGTATTAATAACACCCCGATATTGAAATTCAGAATTAGGTTTCCTTTATTAAATCCCTTTAAATATGCACAACTTTTTATTTTTCTTAATTTTTTTTTTGATTACCAATTAACATGTTTGGTTCTTGGAATGCAAACTCTTTTCTGGTTTTAATTATTTTTTGTTAAATATTTATCTTAGTTAAGAATTTAGTTTTTAGTTTTTTAGTTTAGGTCGATTTTGAGTCATTAATATAGGGGCTTGTTGTGTATAATACTCGAGTAGATTTTTAGGTTCTCTGGGTTGAAACGCTTCGAACGCATAGTTTAGAATATCGCCATAGTTGTATACATATATTTAGGTTGATTTTAGAGTCAATTAGGTGTATATATAATCTGTATATATCATATTTTCAATTCGAGTTATCCATAAATGCATAGAATGCGAAAATCTTTTAGTAAGTATTCCATATATAATATATATTCTTAGTGAGGTTATCAAAAATGTTCAATTCAATTCAAGTGATTTTTTATTTTTTATTTTGGATTAGTTTTAGTTCCAATCTTATAGATACTTTTAGGGTTTTGATAGCTTAAATGCTTCTGAATCTGAATCGGGTTTTTAATCTTTATCTTTGGTTTTTGTTTTTTATAAAAAATGCACGCGTCAGGATATGGCACATAATCCTGATCAGGGACGAATCCTGATCCGACGAATGTCTTCTGATGTGTGGACAAGTTCTGAGGATTGTCAACAGTTGTGTGTGTGTATCGGATGTGTGTGTATGTCGGTTGATGTTGTTGTTCCGCCGTGTCTGTGTGTGTGAGTCTTAAAATTACCGCCTTCGAGCCTGAAAAGTTGGAGCACTCTCCGGCCATAGGTAATACTCTACCCTGTCTAGTTCCCCACCCGATCCTGTGTGCCGCCTTGGAATACTGTTTCCGACAACCAAGCTCTTGCTGGGATTTCTTTACAAAAAAAACTTGTTGAACTTTTTCTATTCCACTTGGAAGCCATTCATTATTTTGTTCTATATCTCTAAAGATTATATTTGATTCTGGGGGGTGAAAGATTTGAAGATTTCAAGATTCTATCGTTTGTAGTCTACGGTATTGAGTATTTTTAGAGAGATCTAGAGAGTTGGATGATCGATGAGGATGATGGAGCTGATTCAATGGGTTGGAAGCTGCGCATGCGCGGAGCACGCACATCATTATTATCTGTTCTGAGAGGTCTTCGGTGTTTTCCTATAAGGCACACTCTCATCTCGTTACCAAAAAATGCAAATACAAAAAATATATATCCTATTCGCTGTAAATACTTCTACAATTTACTCTTCGACCCGCCATCCTCGCCCTCCATCTCCTTCCTTCCATCCAAACACACACGCACACACACAAACACACAACACCGCCCGCATCCCATTCCTAGCCATCCATCCTCCTCCTCCTCCATGGTCGCCATCTAATCCGACAACACGTTGCCGAACAGTAAATTGAGAACGTATTTCAGCATTTTCCTTAGTTATGGAGCCGGGCTGGGCGGGATCCGGGGCGCCACGAACTCGCGTCGGAACTGGAACTCATCGCCGCTCTCCGTGCTCGACGAGGAGGAGCTGTCGCTGGACCTCCTCACCCCTGCCACTGCCACCGCAGTGCCCGCTCCCGCTAAGCCAATGATCGTGGTGGCGGAGTGCTGCTGGTGCTGCATCTGCCGCCAGTGCATCTCGTGCTGCTTCACCGCCGAGGCGTGTATCTTCTCCGGCCAGTGGAACTCTGTGGGTCGCTGCGGCTTGGTCAGCAGCGATCCTGCCGAGAGCTGGCGCTGCTTCAGTTCCTCCGGCGAGCTGCCCACGAAGTGACTGGACGTGGGACTCTTTCCCGTCAGCCGACTGATGTCGAACTCGTGGAGAGCAGCTCCTCCGCTCATTGGTCGTTGCAGGCCGGCTCCTGCTCCGGCCCTGTAGGTGGCCTGCACGGCCGAGGAGGCAGCCGAGGAGGATCCCGATCCCGATCCCGGCAACTCCGAGCCATTGAGGATGTAACTCGTTTTCTGCCCGGAGCTCAGATAGCTGGCGTGTCCCACATTGTAGTTGTTGCCCGGCCCACGGCCTCCAAAGTCGTAGATGCGATCCTCGTACTGGAAGTGCTCGTAGCCACCGACTCCCATCCCAGCGCCACCCCGATGGAAGCTGCGTCGCTGCCCGCCCAGATTGTAGTGAGGCGCCGACTTGATGCTCGAGTTGGAGCCGTAGATCTGGCGAGGGGAGATTATGGCCTCGCGTTCGTCGTGGCAGGCTGACTGAACCTGGCGATTCAATCCCGCCCTGCGACGCCTCCCCAGTGAAGTGTTGGAGCTGTTGGTCACCCGGGCCCGGATGTCGCACTCGGAGCGGGCCAGACTTGGCTTCACCGGCTCCTCACCGCTGGAGGAACTGGAGTCCAAGGTCATGGGATTGTAACTGAGACGCCTGAGGGTGCGGGCCCTGATCGAGCGGGGCTTGTAGGACGCAGAGCGACGTGGCAGTGGCGCCTGGTGCTCCAGCCGCACCTGCCGCTGGATGACACCCCGCTCCCGCTGCGGCGGCTCCGACAGCACGGGCGAAATCGGGTGGAAGCTCTCGTTGAAGGAGGTCGACCGCTGGCGGTATCCCTTCGAGCCCAAGTACATGGAGCCGGCAGTTCCCGACTTGATGGGCGAGGCACTGGCCAGCATCTGCTTGGTGGCGCCGTTGCCGAATCTCTCGTAGCCCAGCTCATCCTTGAGACTGGTGTATCCCCCGGACATGACCACAGGGGGAGCGCTGAAAAGGGCCTCACCCTTCAGAGGGAAATGGAAGCTCTCTTGTGGACTGTAGCTGGACTTCTGGCTGCTCCTCCGCGACAGGGAGATGTTGGTGTCCCGCGAGGCAAAGCCCGTGTCCGGCGTACTGGACCGCTTGTCCTCCAGCGGCTTGGGATCCACGGAAGCCGTGGCGGCAGCGCTCAGCTGGGCCTGGTTGTGCATGTACTGCAAGTGCTTGTCCAGGTGACTGGTGGCCGCGTTGAAATCGAACATGGTCTGCACTCCGTTGCTGTAGCTGTAGACGGCGGACTTCAAGCTGCCCGTGGCACTGCTGATGCCATCGTCCAGACTCATCAGCTGCGGCAGCTGATCGTTCAGGATGGTGTCGTTGGAGTCGCTCTTGTCCAGCTCCGTGTAGGTGTGCATAAAGTCGAGGTTCAGCGCCTTGAGAGTGTTCTCAATGTCCATGATGTTGTCATCGATGCTCTTGGTCTTTTGATTCTCCTCCCGTTCCCGTTCCCGCTCCAGGTTCAGGGGCCTGCTGAGGATTTCGCGCGACTTCTCGAACAGAAAGTCGGAGCTCTCCTTGTCGAAGATGGGCACCCGCAGGTCCGTTCCGTTCTTGATCTCGCTCAGGGAGCGGAAACGCTACACGGATCGGTAATGTGGAGGAGGAAACGAGAAAACAACCAAAACAAAAGCCAAACACAAACCAAAACAAGGAAATGAAACGGGCAATGATATGTGGGGGAGTAGAAAGAGCAGAGTGTAGACAAAACTCGGAGATTAGATCGTGTGTCAGGTCGCAGATCATCAGGATCTTTAAGGTCTAGCTCTAATGGAATAAAACTATAGTTCAGGATGCTCCAATTCCTCACCTGTATGTCCGGAATGCTTTGCAGCTCCTCGGAGAAGTTCTTCTTTTTGGAAAAGGGCGAGGCATTGCCGTGGGTGGGTGTCAGGGCAGTGCCGGAGGCTGCTCCGCCTCCCAGGGATCCAGACTTGTCAACGCTGTTGCTTAAATGCGGAAATCGAAAGCTGAACTTGCGCTTAGGACTGTGGGTGGCAGGCGTTTGGTCAGAAACCAGGTTGATCATGGATCTGAAACAAAGTAACCAAGTCTTAATATCAGACCATGAGTTGTAGATCCTCTCATGGAACTCACCTGGAGCTTATCTCGTTGGCAATTTCGATGGCATGATTCAGAATCTTTTCGTCCTTCACGGAAATGGGTTTCACCGTTCCCGAGGTCTTCTTCTTCGACAGCGTCGGCAACAATCCGTGCCCGTGCTTGTTGCCATTCGTGTCGCCGCTCTTCTGGCCCAGTTTGGCGGACATTTCCGCAAACTCGTTCTTGCTGTTAACATGGTCGAAACCTGGTGACTTGGGCTGGCTGCCCGACGCCCCGCTTATCGATCCAAACATGGAGTTGATCTCGTCCAGAAGAGACGGTCCAAAGTCCAGCTTATCGGCCGCCATCTCGTCGTCCGAAATCTCGTGGTACTCGTGCAGGTCATCCCCCACCGTCCGAGAGTTGGGACGCCAGCCAGCCTCGCCCGAATTAAGGCTCTTGCCGTCCCCACCGTAGTTGTTGTTCTGGAGAGCGAACTCCAGCTGCTCATCGTCGCTGCGGTTGAGGAAGAACGGATTGGTGGACCCGGTTCCGGTGGCAAAATCAAACGAGCTCTGTCCATTGGTGGCTATCAGCTTGGGCGTGTGCTCGGCGGATGGAATGAATGTGGGGTTCATGGAGGTGGTGCTGCTGGCACCCTCCGGGAAGTATCCGCTGGCCGTTTGCAATGAATCCGGGCTCGTTGGCGTCGGCGGCAGCAGGAGTGGGGTTTGTTCGATATCCTCCGAAGGCTTGTAGGGCGTTACTATCTGCTTGGGGACGTGGTTGTACTACAGGGAAGGAAACACAATAAGTAGGTGCTCACGACTGGGACATGGAGGCTACTTACATTTTGTGAGCTGCCCAGAAAGGCGATATCCCCGAAAGTGGCTCCATCGATGCCCACATGGCCGGTATGCTTGAAGTCGTTCTGCGGCTTGGAAATCATCTCCGTGCGCAGCTTGCGCTTGCTGATCCGGTGGTCGCTGGCTCGGCTGAAGGAGTCCCGGCTGGAGCTGGGTAAGCCCTCGAGGAAGGCCACCGTGTTGGAGGGGTTGAAGTAGCCCGTTTTTCCCGTGCTCAGCACTCCCTTCCAGAAGGGTGTTCCCGTATTCCTATCCAGCACGGTGATGTTGTCTCCCTGACGGTACAAAAGATGATCCTTCTTCGGCTCCGCACAGTTGACCACCGCCTTTAGCTGCTCTGGCTTCATGTCCGGCAGCTGATCGTAAATCTCGCCAAACCGCGGACGCTTGGCGGCGTCGTCCTGCCAGCACTTCATCATCAGGGTATAATACTCGCTGGGACAGCAATCGGGCTGCTCCAGCCGCTGATAGTTGGGCGAGTCGATGGCTTCGAGAATCTGCAGACCCGTGAGCGCAGCCCAGGGCTGGAAGCCGTACGAGAACATCTCCCACAGGCAGACGCCGTAGGCCCACACGTCCGAGGCGTTGGTGAAGCGCAGGTAGTTGATGCACTCGGGGGCACACCAAGCGATCGGCAGCTTCAGGTTCACATTGAAATTAGTCTTGTAGTAGTCCTTGCCCACACCCAGTGCGCGCGACAGTCCAAAGTCCGATATCTTGACCTTGTCCTTGCTGAATACGAGAATATTTCTGGCCGCCAGGTCCCGATGGATCAGGCGCTTCTGCTCCAGATAGCGCATTCCATTGCATATCTGCAGTGCGAACTCGCAGAGCGTGGGTATGGTGAGAAAACTGACCCGCAGACCGGAGTCCTTCAGGCACTCGAGCAGCGAACGGAGATGGGCCAGCTCGGTGACCAGCATCAGGGAGTCCGTAGCCAGGACAACGCCGTACAGTCGAACGATGTTCTCGTGCTCGATGGAATGCATGATAGCCGCCTCCTTGAGGAACTCCATCGGATTCGATTGCATGCGCTCCCTGCAGAGGCACTTAATGGCCACTTGGATCTAGAAACGATCGGATGCAATTAGTGGTGATTACATTGTGAGCTCAAGAGGATCGTTTACGGACTCACCCTTTCGCTGCCATTGGTCCAGACTCCCTGCTGAACAATTCCGAACTCCCCGGTGCCCAGCTGCTTGTTGACGCTGATCGAGTCCGCCGGGATGATGTGCTTGTTGTTGGGCACCTTGCCGGGGGAGCCCGCTCCATTTTTGGCAGCCAACGATGAGCTGGCGGCGGTACTGCCATCTTGGGAGACTTGGGCCGTGCCTGGGGTCTCCTCGCGCTTCACTATCGTGGCGGGCGCCTGCAGCAGACGCTTGATCTTGCTGAGGTAGCTGTGGGGAAAGTGTTTCTCGTAGAACTTGCGAAGCCTCCGGATTTCCGGTCGCGAGAGCCCGATAAAACGCAAATCCTCATCCGCCGCATATTTGAACTGGGCTGCGTTCGTTATTTTCAATTCATTTCTGTTGGGAATGCAATGGGGGGGGGAGAAAATTAGAGAAGAGTGGAAAAGTGAAAAGTGTGGCAGGTGGGGGTCTGAGTGGGAGTCGCTTCCGCTTTCTGGGTCACTCACTTGACGGCATTGTAGTACTGCTGCAGCTCGGACTCTGTGAGGAATTCGTATAAATCAATTTGTGGACACTCTGGAGAGAGAGGAGAAGAGAATATATATAAATAAACACATTAAGATCTTCGGGTACATAAACGATAAACGACCACACAAAAGAAACAAATCCCGGGGCCCTTATCTTTGATGTTTTCATTGCTCGGCATCGGGGAACTAAAAAGGGGGGAATACCCTAGGCAATAAATAACTTCCTTAACGATCGATCCGCCAACGCACTGGCCCAGAGATTCGATTTGGTTCGTTCTACCCCCAAAAATTATTTAAAAAACACACATCTCCATTATCGGAGCGGCTCTTGAATACGAAAATGTTGAACAATTGCGGGGAAGTTAATAGGTATCAAGGGTATCATATTTCGGATGATATTTTCTGGTAATTGAAGCCGCGGAACCAGAGCCAGTCGGCCCATGAGCCAGATTAGAAACAAAAGCAAAGAATTGAAGAGGTAGAACTATTCTCTTGACCAGCGGTGTGTTTGTACGTGAGCACATTGACACAGAATTCTTATTGCCGTGCTGTTGGATGCTTCTTGTGGTGTTGTTGGTGCTCTGCTGCGCCCGCATTTGTCATTCAACCAACATCCAGGGGCCATTGTTTGTCCCCTCGGGAGTTGCGACAGAAGACGGAGGGGCTGCGCCTGCTGCTGGTGCTGATGCTGGTGGGGATGGGGATGGTATTGGATGAGCAACAAATGCAAGCAAACAGATTGCGGGGCTGATAAAGGCCCGCACCCGGGATCTTGGGATTTGCAATTTGACTCATCGCCGGATGGCCGGAAAACGGAGAACTAACCGTCGTATCGTGAGTGCAGCACTAATGGGTGCCGCTCCATTGTACTTTCCCGCAGGACTACGCTTGTCCTTGAATATGCAAAATAAAATCGATCGGCCAATACATACACGCACACACACTCACACACCCCAGGCCATCGCGCAACGGAACTACGTAGCGGAAGAAAACCAGTTTCCGGTTGATTTTCCTTCATTTTTCACTTGACACTTTCTAGCCGCATTTGTCGGCCTGATAACAGGATACTTTTTCGCCGATAATCTGAATTTTTTCTGTCAAACTTACCCATTTTACTCTCGCGTGTGCGTCTGCATTGTTTTTTGTTTTTTTGCTGCAATTGGTATGACCATAAGTTGAAGGGCTAGTAATACCACTGCTCAGGTGGGAACAGTGCTGGAAAACGATCAAGTAGTGGGAGTATGTGATTTTGGTGAGTATAGAATTCAAATATTCGAATACGTAATACACCTTTTATAAACAAAAATATTTAAAACCATGATTATGTTTTAGTTAATAGCTTTTATTCATATACATATTGGATTACTTTAGATATAAAAAACAATCGTCGCATGAAATCGTGAATAATTATTGTGGCTAATGTACGCTTGAACGGTTCGCGTTTAAAACAAACGGAAGCTATTGGGAAAGGCGGTGACCATCATGCGGTTAATGATTGCGCGGATGTGCTCGTGACCCAGGGCGCCGTTGATGGCCGCCAACTCCTCGAAATGCTCTCGTGAACGCTTCTCGTCGAAGAGCTTCACAACATACTTGTACATACGGCCGTAGTGCCCGTGGGCGTAGGCGTGCCACAGTGCGAACTGAATGGCCTTCGAGTCGTTGGCCTCCACGAACTTAATGACCTCGGTATAGATATCATTGATGTCGGACAGACGCTCCTTGACGGCGTCATCCAGAACGGCCCGCTTGGCTATGGCGATGCCCTTCTTGGTCAGAGCCTCGATGAGATTGTTCTTCTGCTTGTCCATGTTTCTGGAGGATACAAGGAAACCAAACGTATTAGATACGAACAATCAACCGATATCTCCACTTACGTCTTAATCTTTGCTGCATCGGGTCGGGTATCGTTCTTCAAGCCGTAGTACGCAAGCAGGGCTCCGGCATCTGTTTCTTCGATCACCTTGTCGGCCAACTTGATAATGCGCTCCAGGGCGTTGTAAACCTTCTTCTGTTCCTCCTTTTGCTTCTCGGCACCCTCACCCGACTCCTGGGAAATGGATTTCTGGGCGTTGACAAAGGTCAACGGCAGTTGAACTTTCAACTGCGAAGATTCGATATTCTGGATGAGCAGCAGGTGCGCTTGCAGGTGCTTGGGATGAGCGGCCACCACCTCGTTGTATATCTTTTCCGCCATTTCGAGCTCTGAAAAGTGTACAGATTAGATGCAGTCTTAAATTATTCAGCATTCCCCGAAACTTACCGCACTTGTTGATGTACGAACACTGGAAATCGCGCAAGCTTTCGGCATAATCATCGGCGTTTGACTTGCCCTTCTTGGGAGAACCTGTACATCCTCCGTTCTCCACGGGCGCATCACTCTGGACATTGATTCCGTCGCCGGCGGCTGGATTACCCGCCGATGTGGCTGCCGGTGGAGTTGCCGGAGCCTTGGGTTTGGCAGCAGTGGCAGAAGCTGCGGTGGCGGCTGCTGCAGTGCCTGCTGCATTGCTGGATCCATTGGCGGAGCCATTCGAGTTCGTCTTTTTCTCCGCGGGATTGAGAATATAGGTGAAAGGATGGAGCGCTACACGACGTCCAGACTCGTCCTGCGGGAAGACCAAGTTTCCAGTCAGCCAGGCGCACTGTGGTGGCAGATTGGATTTTGCCAGACGCTCCTGGGCAATGGGGGCGATGTACAGCACACGGGTGGAGCCACGCAGTGGAGCCGAAACGAACTTGCGACCGCCCACAACGCACTGGTTGTAGTTCTCATAAAAGTCAAGGGACAACACGTTCGCCATTTTGAAAGCAGCTACCAGGTTGGCTTCTGCAATCTTCTCCAGAAGCTCGCGCTTCTCGTGGCGCACCTGGAGGCGAATGGTGTAGTCTCCTTTTTCTAGTTTTGTGTAGAAGGTTTGCGAATGAGCATCGCCAGTGGCCACCAAAGACTTGTTGGCGTCAAAGAGCATCCACATCTGGGACTCAAACTCCGACTCGTACAGAAGGTCATTAAAGATGGGGGCATACAGAGCCACCTCAGCAGGTTTGGACACAGACAGGTTATAGACCAACAAGTTCTGGTACACCTGACGCCCGTCCGGAATAACATCACGCGTGGCGCTCAGAGGCGAGATCTTTGCTTCCGTTGGCCTCAGCACAACGGCGGCATTCTTGAGCTGCAACTGCGGTTGCACGTCCTCCGAAACCAAAGCCTCAACTTCCAGCTTATGGATGCCACGGCCAGCATGCATAACGTCTACAAAGGAAAGGATTAATAGAAACAGTAATGATTCTAATGCTAGAAACACTCACAGGCATTGGGATTCTGTGCCTGGACTCCACGGAATATCAGGCTATACTTCAGATGGCTTTGGCCATAGTTGGACCAATACTTGGCGATACAAAGCTCCAGAATCTTGCCAGACTGCAAAGAGATATTATCAGAAAATGCGAGGCTACACCAAAGAGTATCATCCTCCTACCTTAACTTTAAAAGCCATGGTGGATTCTTGCTCAGAGCCCACTGCCACAATTTTCATGGTCTCCAGCTTGCGGCAGGACTGCTTGGGCAGCAGTTGGTTTGTGTGGACGAAAAACTTTCCAACATCTTTGCCACGATTGGGATCGGTGATGCGCATGCGCAGCTCTATAAAAAAGTAAGAAAGTCTATTAGAAATCTGTAGTCTTTGAAGACCAATAAGAACCTACCCGCCCAAGTGGCCTTTTCCGGAACAAGTATAAAGTCTCGCTGGATGGTGTTGGGCTGGAACTCTACACTTTTGTCGCCTTTGGTGGAGGCCGGTTCAAAAACAGGAGTATTCTGATCGGATTCCAAAACATGAGGCTGCACCACGGTCACAGGAATTTCAAAGAGAGCACCCTTCTGCACACAATCGGTATCATAGGCACGAACCCTACAAAGTGGTTAGAAAATGGATCACAAACTGCATCGATTACGGCATGAATATGATCTTACACAGCGCTGTGTACTCCCGGTTGGAGGCCAGTGGGGTCGACGCGCACCACAATGGCGCGTGAGCCGTAACTAAGATCCAAGAAGGCTCCACACTGCACCCACGGGGCCGAGGGTATAAGGTTCAGACGCACATTAAAGTTGAACTTGTCCTTGGGATCTGGAAGGGGTTGAGGAATAAGACGCGTATCCGATGGCATAAAACGAGCTGACAGCTTACCCGCCTCCTTGTCGTTGAAGAAAATTGGCTCAATGTTTATATTATAGTCAATGAAGTTCCTCTGGACACCTTGACGCAAATGGATACCCTTGGCTTGGTTGTTGCCAACACGAACTGAGAATCTGGTGGGTGAAGAATTCCATTAATTTTAAGGCTTCTATAACCACAAATTCGAACCACTTACCTCAGCATGTTGTCTTTGGACTCCTTGTGTTCCGTTAAATGTTCAAAAGCCTTCTCCACGTTGAGAAGACCATGACCTTGGGCAAAGGGATCCACATAGCCCAGTTTAGTGGCAGTGACGCTGATCGCACGCTTAATACTGTACGGCGAATACTCAATGTTCTGCTGTTTCAGTCCCGAGATGAGCAGTGCTACAGCACCGGCCACGTGAGGTGCGGCCATGCTAGTGCCGTTCATCAGCTGCGACTTGCTCATGGTGAACTGCGGCACTGAGGCGATGGCTCCGCCCGGAGCACATACTGTCACACCTTGACCGCCATCGATGCAGGGATCGCGCGACGTCCAGGTGTATACGTTGCCGGGGAGCTTCTCCCGCATCGCATACTCTGCTTCCATCATTTGGGGGGAGACATAGGCGCCCACGCCAATCAGGCTGGGTTGGCTGATGTCCGGCGGCGTTCCAACCGTAGACAGAGCCGGTCCATGGTTGCCGGCCGAGGCCACCCACACCACACCGTACTTGTTCACCACCTCGTTCATCAGCTCCCCAATGCGGCTGCAATTCAAAAAGTGAAAAGATTAGATATATGATATTATGAGATCTTATCAGGACAAGTGTGGTCGTGTAAGGCGCTATGGAACGTGTCGGTCAGAGACAAGAGAATTAGAGTGTGTGAGTTATTGGATACTTATGGATACGCCATTACCTCGACGCACTCATCTTCTTTATCTTCTTTCTGCGACGCGTTTCATCCGATACACTAAAATGTAGCTGGCAGATTAGCTTTCTTTACCATGCATCTTGGTTATTTGAAACCAACTTACCCGGAATTGGACCAGTTGGCGTGCTCGCCATAGCTCATGTTAATCACATCAATGCGGCGTCCGTCGCGGCACAGCTCCATTACTTTGGTCATGGCCCTGACCAATGCGGTTCCAGTTTCCATCGATCCCAGCCGACCGTCGCCAATGGTCATCGACACGATCTTGGCATTGGGCGCCACCCCGTCCACGTCTTTGGAGCTGTGATTACCGCTGGCTATGGAGGAGACGTGGGTGCCGTGGGGAGAGCACATACCAACGATTTCCAGAACGTTTCCCTCATCGTGCACATTTACGGAAATCGACAGGAAGTCATCCACGTTACGGGTTTCGTGTGTTACAGAGTACTCGCCGATGCGGAGAGCCTGCTCTAGATCCCCCTGTTCTGTGGTGTCGATGATGGCCAACCAGCCCCCGGCCGTGGCGAAGAGGACGCAGTCATAGGAGGTCTTAATATCATTGTACACCTTCTCGTAGCTGTTGAGCATCTCCAGCTCATAATCCAAGTTATCCTTAAGTATTTTCTTATCCCAGGGTAGTTTGGAGGCTTCTCCTGGAAACGGGAGCATGAGATTAAGCTTTCGCAAGAGGAGTGGAAGGACTCACCTGGGTTTTGTGACTCAAAATCGGCAATCTTACGGCTGGCATTGGCCGTGGCCGTTTTATGGGGCTTATCCCAGCTCTTCAGCTTGGCCTGAGCCACGATATTGTTGCGGACCTTTGACGGCACCAGGTCACTGAAGCTTTTCAGACCCACCCGCACCGATTTTTCAGGATCGGTGTTCAACGCCAGGAGCTCCGGGCTCAACTTGAGCGTGTTGCCAGACAGGCCCTTCAGGCAGCCCTTCTCATCCGGCGTCACCTTCTTCTTCATGTCCACGTCTCCGCAACCGGAGCAGTCGTAACGCTCGATCACCTTTACGGTCTTTCCATCACAAAGCGTCTGTGAGCACACACAAGTGCAGTTAGCCAATGTGCAGTTAAGACTCGTCAGAAAAGCAAAAACTGCCAACTCACCTCCAGTCCGGTAGCTCGAGGATCCACACCGGAATCAAAAATGGCAATTGTGACGTCGCGTCCATCGTACTCTGGGTACTTTTGCAGGAAGTTGAGGACACCGGTCTCCGCTTTTGGGACCAGTGCGCCCGTGGGAAATGACTCGACAATACCGCTAGTGGCCATTCTACTCCTGCTCTCCGCTGTTTTGTTGTTGTTGCACTCAGAACTTTCTTTGGTTGCCGTTCGATTGAAGAACCAGTGGGACCGAGACCTGACTGAAGAATACAAGTGGAAATACCGGATAAATATCGTATATAAGTCGCCTAAATCTGGATAATCCTAAGGCGGGCGAAAGAACATGATTCAATTTCTTACCCAATTAACAATACTACCTAAAACAATTTGTTTAAAGAGTAACTTTATGAAGATTACCAAAAATAAATAGGACTACTTCACAGATTATTTAAAAATGTAATAAAAGTGGCATGTCATGGCCATCTCTAGACACAAACCAACTATCGGCAACAAATACGATTCGCTGTGACTGTCAACATCGAACAGCTGATTTTTCCGTCTCCGTTTGTCACTTGTCGAAAAAACAACAAGACACCTATTTTTCCGGACAAGATGTGGTTCGAAATCCTACCTGGTGCCGTGATCATCACCACGCTCCTTTCGGTGCCCATATACGCCATGTACGGCCTGGATAAGCTCACCATTGGCAATGTGAGTCTCGTCGATGCCTTCCGTCGAAGCAGCTCCGAATTCTTATATAACCGCAGATGCTTGTGAACAAATCGGACTTTACTGAGCATTATTTAATTACACTTGAACAGAAAGGAGTTCCTCCAACTCCGCTACACTTTACACGTCTTCTGATATATTCTTTTTGTTCCGCAGGCCTTCCGTCGCAACATGGACGAGCGCTTCTCCCGTGTGATGTACCAGCGCGATTTCCGATTGACCAACAATCCCTATCAGATGAACGTAAGTATTTTAGCTTGACCTGGTTCTCTGCATTTTCCCCTCATTTAATCGCGTTTTCGGGTGCTGGCTGTTAGAAAAACCATCAAATCACAGAATTATCCACGATCCATGGACGATTGGGTTTTAAAGTTAATTCCATTTCGATTGCATGTCCAGAAATGATTGGTTTTTAATTTGTTTTATTGACTAACAAATTTTTAACACAAAAACAGGATCAGGTTTTAAGATTATTTAATACTTGTGTTCGAATATTTGTCATATTTTTTCAAAGGCATTTATTTTTTTTCAAAAGATTATCTTAGTTTTGAAAACTAACCATTTTTCAAATCAAAATCGTCTATCATCTCCATTTGTACTAACCATCCTTCAAACCCTGTATTGGTTTCATCATTTCCACATCCAATCCCTGCATGTCCATCTTTAAAGCTTCAAGGACCGATCTTTATTCCGAAATAAATTTTAATTGCAGGGTCTGGATGCCATACCGGATGAGAAAAAGGAATAGGTTCAATTAAGTAAAATTTTTCGATTAAGCTTAAGTGCAAAAGTGAATAAAAGAAAACATTTAGTGCGAAAGTGAAAGCTCCTTGGCTCGTTTTAGATATCTCCTGTAGTCCTCTTGCGGTGTGTTTTGCTTGGGTGTATAGCTATTTCATTACAGGGTCTTGAAGAAATTCCCGATGAGGAGGAAAAGAAACAAGAGGAGCCGCAGGACTACGATGTCGGCGATGATCCGAAGCTCCTGAAGAAAAAGAAGGCCGAGGAGAAGCTGCGCCAGAAGGAGGAAAAGGAGGAGGCCAAGCGCAAGAAGGCGGCTGGCGAGTGAAACTAAAAATATTTTGGCCATGTAGTTTGCAATCATAATAAAGGACTCTCAGAGTTTGCCGCGCAGTAAACAACCCTGTCCTTGCTACAGGACAGGAAACCAAAACCACCCCTAAGGGAGACATACGGGAGGCGAACTACCATCTCCCATTGTATCAGCTTTTATGTGGTATTCGGTGAAAAGGCGTCGTCGGGTAGCGAGCGCGAAAATAAACAAAATCTGCCGACGTATTTAGGACATATTTTAAGTCTTAAAATATAGTTTAAACTAAGGAATCACATTTAACATTCGTGAAATGAAAGTGTTTGTGGAAACCAGTAAAGATTCCGTTTAGAATTGGGGGAAAAACAAGAGTATATACAGAAAACACAGCCATGGCGGCCGGGCAGTGGGTGGGGCGGGCGTTTCAGGCTTTGGGGGAAAGGAGGTGGCAAACTTTTGCTGCCCTGGGGATGTGCGTGCTTCTGTTTACCAGTGCCACGCACGCAAGCTCCATGAACGCCATCGAGGAGCCTGTAACCCGGCGCCACCACCAGCGACACCACGACCGGGAAAAGGAGCGAGAGCCGCGCGAGGAGAATGGCTATTGTGCCCCCTACAACGGCAAGGTGTGCAAGCAGTACATCACCGGCCAGGTGTGGTATAGCTTGGACGATCCCACAGGCGGCTGGAAGAACGAGCAAGTGACCACGGCACTCTGGGATGAATTGATCTCTGACCTATCCGGCTTATGCCGGGAAGCAGCTGAGGTGGGTTAAAAGTCAACAAATCTTTCTTATTCCTTTATTAACTTTGCTAATCCTGCACAGAAAATGCTCTGCGCCTATGCGTTTCCCAACTGCCACTTGGAGGCAGGCAGAGCCGTGAAGGCGCCACTCTGCTTCGAGGACTGCCAGGCCACTCATCTGCAGTTCTGCTACAACGACTGGGTGCTCATCGAGGAGAAGAAGGAGCGCAACATGTTCATCAAGAGTCGTGGCCACTTCCGGCTGCCAAACTGCTCCTCACTGCCGCATTACAATGCCTCCATGCGAAGACCCAACTGCTCCTATATTGGGCTCACCGAGCTCAAGCAGTCAGAAGTTAGTTGTAAGTTGTACAGCCATTTTGGGTACTCCTCCATAGATTTCAATTCCATTTCATTATTTTTAGATGACTGCCGCAATGGGAACGGACGCTTCTACATGGGTACTGCCAACGTGACCAAATCTGGTATACCCTGCCAACGCTGGGACACCCAGTATCCCCACAAGCACATCCAACCCCCTTTGGTCTTCCATCAGCTTCTGGAGGGGGAGAACTACTGCCGCAATGCAGGCGGTGAGGAACCACAGCCTTGGTGCTACACCGTGGATGAATCCGTACGCTGGCAGCACTGCGATATACCCATGTGCCGTAAGTATACTTATAACATTCTCTAAACCATGTTGTTTGACCCATTTCCAATCCTGCAGCCGACTATGTGGATCCTAATGCCGGGGATGCGAGTACCCCCATCAAGATGGAAAAGTTCTTTACGCCATCTATGATTTTCCTGCTGGCCGGCATTGGTTTTGTGGCCATTGTGGCCCTGCATCTGATGATTCTGCTCGTCTATAAGCTGTCCAAGCACAAGGACTACTCCCAGCCTCCTGGGGCTACACCTGCGGACTGCAATGTTTCCATGCGGGGCGTAGGCGAGTGTGGCGGGAATCTCAATACCAGTCGCGAAACTTTGGGAGGCAATGTCAACACGAACACATTGGGAAAGTGGGGCACCATTCGCAGCACGGCCACGGTGCACAGCAATTGTGTGGCCCTCACCACGGTGACCACTGCCACTGCGGAAACCAAAGGAACCAAGCCAAATGCGCGTCTAGAGAAACTGGAGTACCCAAGAGGGGATATCGTCTATGTGAGATCATTGGGACAAGGTGCCTTTGGTCGCGTTTTTCAGGCCAGAGCTCCAGGGCTAGTGCCCGGCCAGGAAGATCTCCTGGTGGCCGTCAAAATGCTCAAGGACGATGCCAGCGACCAGATGCAGATGGATTTCGAGCGGGAAGCCTGTCTGCTGGCCGAGTTCGATCACCCCAACATCGTGAAGCTACTGGGAGTCTGTGCTCTGGGGAGGCCCATGTGCCTGCTGTTCGAATACATGGCGCCCGGGGATCTCAGTGAGTTCCTGCGCGCCTGCTCTCCATTCAATACTCACCAGGCTCCAAATCGGGACCGCCTGCAGCTGAACGAGCTGCATCTTCTCCAGATGTCCGCCAACATTGCTTCGGGAATGCTCTATCTTTCGGAGCGCAAATTCGTCCACCGGGATCTGGCCACCAGGAATTGTCTAATCAACGAGCTTATGACCGTAAAGATAGCTGACTTTGGGCTGTCGCACAAGATCTATCTGCAGGATTACTACAAAGGCGACGAAAACGACTTCATCCCGATCCGTTGGATGCCCCTGGAGAGCATCCTGTACAACAAGTTCTCCCTGGAATCGGACGTTTGGGCCTATGGCATTTGCCTGTGGGAGATATTCTCCTTTGCCCTGCAGCCGTATTTCGGGCTGACCCACGAGGAGGTCATCAAATACATCAAGGAGGGCAACGTTCTGGGCTGTCCGGACAATACGCCGCTCTCCGTCTACGCCCTGATGCGCCGCTGCTGGAACCGGAAGCCCAGCGAACGTCCCGGCTTTGCAGAAATTAATCACTGCATCCAGCACAGCATTGCCGAGAGCGAATGCAAGGCGATGCTCTAGGAGATTGCCGAGGACATTGAACCGATGCTGATAGAAACGGAATGAGTGACCGACGTCTTCCGTGGAAGAAACAGTCTAGGGAGATTGTTTTACAATCCATAGGGAGTTCTAAGAAGCAGCTTAGAGAGTATGATTTTAAACATAATTATTGTAGGGGGAAGACTTTTAATTCCATTTTCTGATACTTTATTTAATGGGTAAAGAACCTCTAATGCTGCTTAGAGCTGACCATGGATTGTAATCCAAGTCCACCATAAAGATGACACTTTTTTTTAAAAGCTAATGCAAATGATTTGAATTACTTGCACTTTGCGAGATCGGAGGGAAGAACGGATTGTGATTAAGATAGTTAAACCGACGCTCCATATCTTTAACTAAGTCTTCGATTGGCTGCTTCCAAGCAATATTTTATTTCCTACTTTGATATATAGTACTCGACGCCCTCCGATCTCGGCCACCAATCGATTAGTCTGCCACAACGAACGCATCCAGCTCACGTTCCGTACTCATATCTAGTCCGTAGTTTAAGTTTATCCATTATCCATATACATACGCATGTGTAGATTGCATTTTAATGGGTTCTATTCTCGATTAGAGTTAAGCACTGCCATCGAAGCACTCCGCTGATTGCTGGGTGGGAGATCGAACAGGAACCATACACTCTCACAGATACCGGAGACCATCAAAACAATAAGGAATATGAAATATCGAATATTTAGAGAACTGTCTACCGCCCGAATTTCTGGGTAACTTTACATAATCTTTGTAACTAAAAAGTGTTGAATGTAATTTGTATAAATAAACCATCCATAATCGTACAACATTAACAGTAGTAGTAGGAGTTGTAGTAGTAACTATAGCACCGGCTGTAACCCGCTGGGTAGGGGTAGGGCACGGAAACAGGATACACTCCAGCGTAGCCGGCATAGCCTCCAACGAATCCTCCATATCCGCCATATCGGTAGCCGCCATACGGTCGTGGGCCTCTGAAGCCACCGGGTGGAGGTCCTCCTCGGAAACCACCGCCTCCAAAGCCTCCGCCAAAACCAGGACCTCTGCCAAATCCACCTCCTCTGCCACCAAATCCACCTCCTCTGCCTCCAAATCCTCCTCCACGACCTCCACCGCCAAAACCTCCAGCATGGCCGCCTCCGCCGTGTCCTCCTCCTCCACCGCCTCCTCCCCGCGCCTCTGACATTTGCCACAGGGCCAAGACCACTCCAAGAAAGAGTACAATCCAAATACGGGACATCTCCAGTAAGAACCTTGTTCCTTCGTTCCCCAATAACGACTGACTCGGGACGACTGACTTGTACTTATTGCAAGCTAATTAGGATGCTCCCGTTAATTGGACTCGAGCGTTTGGATAATTCCCCGATCGAGTTACTCCTATTTGTTTCTATATTTGCGCATTTTCTGTATTTTATTTGTATTTTTCTCTCCTCTCCGCCGATTCACACTTCTCGATATCACAGCAGCCTATATGATTAGGCATCAAATGGAATTTGTTCCTTAACCGAATGATCTTAAATATATTTTAGATGGGGGATGAGCTGGACCCTCTGTTTCAGAGTGCCTCGGGGCAGTTTTTGTTTTTGCTTATAATTAACCTATCCGGATCGAGGGATAGTCGCTTCAGGACATCGTAGACCTTTGAACGGATGTCCACCTCAAAGTCCCGATCGCGTCCCAGGATCCAGATCTGATCGGAGTGACCCAGTGATCCAATACTGCCACAGGACCACAAGATGGCAAAGTTGTCATAGTCCGTATAGAGAACCTGGTACTTTCCAGAGCCTGGCAGCAATCGGGCAATCACATCCGGAAAACGAGTGGTAAACTAAGAAGATGAATAAATTTTTAAAAATTATTTAAAATAAAATGGAGTTCCTTTATACCTTGAAATCCATGATGGAGGATCGACTATTTTCGGGCGTGGCATAGCCTATGTTTACATTGGGATTACCAGTTCTAAAAATACATATTTTAATTTATTGATTTATCCTTAGATTGTTTTTAAGTTACTCACATACGATTAATGTTTTTAATGGCCACGGCCAGCTTGAAATTGGCAAACTTGGACTGCTCCGCCTTGTTGTATGGCTGGAACTGGAAGGTGGTGCATCCGGAGGCGATCTCTGGCAGGTAAAAGGAACGTTCCACCTCATACCAGTGGCCAAGAACCTACCAGAAAGAAATGTTTTATTATTTAAGCTTATATCTTTACCATAACTTTATTTATTTGTGAAATTGTAAACTCGGCAAGCCAAGAAATTAAACAAATATTAGTCCAATAAATATTGATATTTTTGCACATGGACTCGAGCAAACACAGGTGAAAGTGAATAAGATCGTGAATCTCTAATTTAGTATCTTGAAACCCCAATAAAATCCCATTAGTTAATGGGCAAATGTTTATTTTCCAACTAAGTTATCACTATCTTTTATGAAACATCCGGTTGGAAGGGAGGAACCTAGAACCATCTGACAATTGTTTTATTTCGGACTTGGACAAAGAAATACCTATTTGGGTTACTAATGCCAACACTCTCCCGTCTGTTAACAATGCGTAAAACATAAACATTTTTTGGAAACTGGTTTTTTTTGGCCATTAAGAGAAGTGACACCTTTGGCAGCTCTTCATCTTCGTCTTGCAGTTCAAAGTTGCAGGGCGCCGCAGTGGATTTAATTACCTGTCTGCGAATGCTACCGTCCAAAAGCCGAGGTCTTTGCCCCGGGTCAAAAGTGGTCGGATGGGGGGCGGGGACGATGTCACATAGATTAATTCACGCCTGTCAACAACTCAATTGGATGAGATATGCGGCTAAGTGAGTGGAGGGCATACAGATATGTAGCTGGAACCACTGATCTCTGGCTGCGTGTCTTTCGGGCAATTATGGTGCATTATCATTTATGCAAAACAAGGTTCAATCAATTTAATTCAAACAGCTAAAGTGATTGAGCCAATTTTCTGGTCTATGGCCATTACTCAGAGTGTAAATTACACTGTGACTTCAGTAAGAGGAATCTAAGTAAGTGGAGCAAGCCCTGGAGAATACCTAGAGACCTTAGAATCTAGAGACTATGAGTAATACTATCAGACCCCCAAATACCTTTAGAGAAATTCCCTTAACTACTTGGACTTTTAAATTAGAAAGACCTGACTGTTGGTAACTTAATTGTCCTTGGAATACCTCCGAGTCCGAGTCTAAGCCTCGGTACTGGTTGATTTACTTCTTTGTGAACCAAGTGGCTTGTTTACCATCGGACAGGCCATAAAACCCATTGTGGCTCTCGTCTCCTTCTGTAAAACTGGTTTGCATTTTACACGACGGATCGGAATCGGTGGCCTTAAATTGGTTCAAGTTCATCTCAGGCACAGTCTTCAGTGTGAAGAAAGGTCTTCGTCTTCGGCCGCCACCTTGTGCTAATTAATCGAAAAGGTGACACGTTTAGGCTGATGGCGAATATGCGATGATATGCGGAATTTACAGGGCATTCTCAAGTTTTAATATAAGGGGCTTTAGGATGAATCTCTGAAGTTTAAACCCACTTCCGTTCATGCATTACTACTCACAGCAGTCAAATTTTAATTATTCAAGTTCTCAAAGGTCAGTTCATTTCCTTACCCGACTCATATTGAACTTTGGCATCGACGGATAATTCGGGCAACGTCCAAATCCGTAGGCAGTCGTCTCCACGGCTAGTGTTAGCCACAAAGCTCCGGACACTAGCCAAATAGTTGAAACGATCGACTTTTGTTTGCACATTATTGTTTGTTTTCCAATCCACTCTGAATATTTATCACTTTGGGTGGCAGAATTGGCACAGTCTCGCGATTATATCACTCACTGGTCAGAATTTGTAATCAGATTATTTTCATTGAACTTTAAAAACTACTTTGTAAGTAAATGCACAAAGCGATTCCTGGGTTCACTTGGCCAACGAACTGTGGCTTCAAATTCGAATTTCCTCAAAGTAATCGCCACCTATTGGTATTCCGAATGGGAAGTGTGCGATAATGAAATCGTGCTGTCTGTCTACCGACCGGCTTGCCGATCGAATCGATGGAATGGGACCTGGACGTAATGACTGGCCAAGAAGTGAAAACCACTAACTGGGTTGTTGGCGTTGGTTATTTATTTTTGGATTTGGCTCGTGCCCGGCCCGGCCCGGCTTGGTCCGGCCACCAGGTTACGTAAAAGAAAAGCCAGCGCCAAACTGCAGTTTGGAACAGGTTGCTCCACACAAAAATGATTGCGAATTGCAGAAAAAATATACAAAAAATAGCGAGTAAAAGCTAAAATCGCCAAATCGAGGAAACTCTGGCTTAAATGCATCAATTGTGTCATGAAGTTAGCGGGTGCATGACTCTATTTATGTTCGAAAATGTAAAAAAGTTGTTATATTTGCTGGAGCGTATCAAGTTCAAGACAAGTAGGAAGTTATTTTTTTTAATTTACCATTTATGTTTAAACAGCACGAAAAACTTTATGAAAATGAGATGTAAAGAGTCAAGGGAAAGTTAAAATATGTGTTTAAACCAAGTCTTGAATGATTTTTTAAGAAAAAACAAAAAATTAAACTAAAAGTTCTATTTTGGCGGTAACTCAATTTCAAAAACCAATTCAAAACTAGGACTTTTAAAAATGTGTTTAGTTTTTTACTGCTAAGATTCTTTGGATTATTTATGTCTGTCCTAATTTTAAACACTTTTAAGATGATATAATAGATTCTTAAGTAGATTCTTCCATAATTTTTCAGCCAAAAACATAAAAACTCCAAAAGTCTATACCAAGATATGCCTCCTGGTAATACCGTTGGTAGCACCAATCACTGCCAATAAAAATAGTGTTAATTTCACAGAAAACAACAACAACAAGGGGCTTTAAATAAGCCAAGGTAATTGCAAAATACTCTTGTTGTCCAGCTGATTTCACTTTGTGCACATACAATCAGGTTTTTTTTTTATATATAATCTGTTAAATGTGTAAAGTGCACTCGCTGTGCAGCTATTTTAATAGCCAATCTCTTTGTTTACATGGTTGTATGCGGCGGAGTTCTTTTCATTAGCGGTTTATCTCGGAAACTCGAATCTCGAAACGCGACGGACCCGACCATTAAAGACCAACCGCTCGAGGCATTCGTTGAATCAAAAATGAACCACAATTTGAATTCAATTTCAATTTCGTTTTTTCCTTGCAGATGGTCACACTATCAGACAATAACGGTCATTCAACTAGGGTTCATCTGTTTATCGATGAAATCTTTATCACTTTTTTCAAATTTATTTTATTGTTTGGAGTATAGAAATTCGAATAAATTTTTTGTTTTAAAATCTTTGTCTTTTATAAATTTGTACTTTGTCCTTATCAACCAGCAATAGGGTTTCAAACAATAGTTGCCAATCACAACGACCATCTGATCTGGCCACATTGCACATCTCTAGGTGAAATGCCAAACTTTGGCCAAAGTAGAGCTGGAAAAACATCGATGTTCGGTGACATCGATGTTTTCGATGTTTGAGAAGGAAAACATCGATTATAATCGATTATCGAAGTAAAAAATATTTTTTTTTTAATTTCAACATTTATTTACAGGAGATCATCTGCATTTTTGTTTAAAAATAAAAGTTTATCTACAGTTTGTGGTTTTAGACAGCTTCTGCGGTCACTAATTATTTGTCCGGCTTTGCTGAACGCTCTCTCGGATGCAGTTGAAGTGGCTGGCACGCAGAGGGGACTGCTTTGCAGTAGCTTTGAAAGGTTCCATTTCGTCAGGGCTCATCTATAAAATAAATATTGGATTTTATATAAAATATCTAGAGTTTAAATTTAAAATACCTTATTAAAAGTTAATGGGTTGCAATCCTCCGGAGAGTTGAAAACCTCTAAGAATTGTCGCAGGGCTATAATAGAGTCTGCCCTGGCAGACCTCGTTTTTTCAGCAACTTTTTTTTGCAAAAAGGTAAACTGCCGGTTCTCCGGCTGTAGAGTTGGTGTTGTTGGCGCATCGTGGGTTAATTTGGACATTTTATTGTACAGTTCAATTTCGAGGGCCTTAGCTGCTTCGTCCGCATGTGTTTGGGAAAGAAAGCCGAGTTTTTTAAATCTTGGATCTAAAATGGTTGTAAGTGACGATAATCGATGTTAAAAAATAAAACATCGATATTAAAAAATTTTCGCCAACATCGATAGTATCGATGTTGCATCGAGGTTTTTTCCAGCTCTATGCCAAAGGCAATCGTACAATATCTTTTCATTTTCCTGTAACTTTTGTCGTATTTTGCTTTGGAAATTTCGCCTTTTTTGTTGCTAAAAGCCGCGAACACATTAGGATACTGCCGTAAGTATATTTTGAATGTGACTTTCACTCGGTATATTGGCATTCTCACCTCCATTTCCGTTTGCCCTTTGTTCCGAGTTCGAGTTTCAATGTAATTCGTAATTTCGCCCACCCGCAGGTTAACATGGATACGGAGAAGTCTAGCAGCAGCTCGTTTGAGGATCTGACCAATGCCGAGGACACGAAAGACATTCGCAAGGTGGCTGCGGAAGCTGCTGCCGGTGATGGGGTGCCACCTTCAGAGTTAGCGACTGATAAGGAGCCAGCGAAGGAGCAGGAGGATTCTGACAGCGATTCGGACATCCTGGGCAACAAGCAGCTGATAAAGCGCACCATTAAAAAGGCCCCTGAGGATGCAATTAAAGCTCTCCGCGGAGATCTGGTCACCCTCAATTTCACCGGCAAGTTGGACAACGGCAAAGTAGTGGATGAGGGAGTGGGCTTCCAGTGTCACGTAGGAGACTACGAAATTGCCCAGGGAGTGGATATGGTGCTTCCCATGCTGCAGGTCGGCGAAGTGGCCCAAATCATCGTGGATCCCCGTTTTGGTTACGGCGACCTTGGTCTGAAAAAAGAAAACGAATCTGAATATACTATTCCCCCAGATGCAAAGGTATGCAAATACGATTCATGTTATAGGAATGGCTGTTAATTTAGTCTGATTTGCAGTTAACCTACGAAGTGGAACTCGTGGATGCCAAAACTGAGGATTTCGCAGACCTCAAAGCATTTGAAATCCGTCGTAACTACGGGTAATTCTTGAATAAATTAACCTCATTTGCGAGGCCACTAAGGAAACTTTCATTTCAGAACACGAAAGAAAGAACGCGCCAACTTTTACTATAAGCGCTTGCAGTATAACACCGCCATTTACCTCTACAAACGTGCTTTAGACTATTTGGACACGCGGGACGGCGATCCGGATGCTGAGTTTGACAAGGAAGATTTGGAGGTGGGTACATCCCCGCATGTGGTATTCTGCAAACCACACTAACATTTTTCCTAATAGCTATCGAACAGCGATACCCAGATTTTGCTGGACGATCGATTGATCGTCTACAACAACTTGGCCATGACACAAATCAAAATTGCCGCCTATGATGCCGCCCTGGAGTCCGTGGAGCACGTCCTGCGATGCCAGCCGAACAATTCAAAGGCCTTGTACCGCAAGGGAAGGGTAAGTTCAAATAGTTATCTAAGGTTAGGAGACTAAGGTAACTCATTCAATGTATATTTCAGATATTGGAAGGCAAGGCAGACACCCAGGGTGCCATTAAGCTGTTGCAAAAAGTGGCCACTTTGGAACCCGACAATCGATCTGTCCAGTCAGACTTGGCCAGACTCTTCATCAAGGCTCGCCGTGAGGAACACAACGAAAAGGAGATGTACCAGAAGATGTTGGGCCAGGCCAAGAAAATGGAGCAAAAGACTGCCACCAGACAAAAACAGCCTCTCGTGGACAATTCAAAGGTTCGTTACATAAAGATATCCAAACCACCTTCTCTAATCCCTATGTTTTCTTTTCAGCTGAAGCTGCTAGGTTATCTAATGGGCTCCATATTGATTGGCGTGGCCGGGGTAGCTATTTATCGTTACAAGTACTAAGGACAAGCATTGCACATGAACTACTGTTTACTTTAAGCAATTGAAAGCATTTTTTTGTAAGGATACATACATAACAGGCAAAATTATGAATGTTGGATAGCGCAGTTGCTTCTTAAGTCTTGTTGTACATCTAATACTATGCACTCTTCACAATAGTATGTATATCTGTCAAATGGTATGGTTTTGGATAGCGTACGTGTAATGTTAAAGCTTAATTTTAATCAATTACATTCTTTCGGAAAGTAACGGGAATTGTAAAATAAACCACAATTTTCATTTAATTTTTATTGGCTTTTATTTTTAAGATTTTGCTGGAACTGGAACAGCATATGGAGGCAATGAGTTTGCTAAATTATAGGCCTTTTACTGATTAGATTAGATCAATATTGTCTGATAAGGTTAAAAGAATCTGAAATGGCCAACGAAAAGCTCAAATCATCCGATTTATAAAGAGAGATGAAGCCAAAACTTTAAAGCGCTGATTCATTGTTTTCATGTGACCTGACAACATTATTTTTCGAAATTAAAGATTATAGCCCATGGGGGGTCAAGGAAGTGGCCTTTTTGTTTGGAACACGCTTTTGTATACAATTTTTTACAGCTTTTAATACCTTGTTTGATAAATTTGATCAATATTTACAAATAAAACTTTAGTATAGCAGATATCTGGAAATATAACCATAATTTGATATCTGGCTCAGACTTCTTGATAATACTTTTGTTTAGTAGAGGTTTTGTTAAAGATAACAAAGTTAAGAAAACTGATTCGACCGGAAAGAAAGTAAATGGATCGCTCTTTTCTGAAAATACCATTTCTTTATTCCATTTTTTTAATATTTGAGACAAATACACTTTTATTGGGTGGGTTAATATACAGAAAACCATGACAAACGATCTAAAAAATCTCATCATGTAAAAAAATATATACACTGAGGTAATTAGGCCTTTGCGGCGATTTCTAGGGCCTGCTCCAGATCCTTGATTTGATCCTCGGCATCTTCGAGACCAACTGAGAGACGGATCAGGCCATCGGTGATGCCCAGGGTCTTTCTATCTTCAGCCGGAACAGAGGCGTGGGTCATTACGGAAGGCAGCTCAGCAAGACTCTCGTATCCGCCCAAGCTCTCCGCCAGGGTGAACACTTTGAGAGCCTTCAGGAAAGCCGTGGAGTGCTTAAGCTCACCCTTGATGTAGAAGGAGAACACACCACTGTAGCCGTAGGTCTGCTTCAGGGCAATCTGGTGCTGGGGGTGGGACGGCAGGCCGGGGTGAAGAACCTTCTCGACGAACGGATGCTTCTCCAGATACTGGGCAACCTTGAGGGCGTTCTTCTGGTGCTGCTCCATGCGGAGCGACAGGGTCTTCAGACTTCTGTTCACCTGGTAGCAATCAAACGGAGAGGGCACAATGCCGACGGCGTTCTGCAGGAACTTCAGACTCTCGTACAGCTTGGGGGAGTTCATGGTGATACCTCCCATCACCACGTCGGTGTGGCCGTTCATGTACTTGGTCATCGAGTAGCAGACCATATCCGCTCCCAGCTCCAAGGGCCGCTGGAAGTACGAGGTGAGGAAGGTGTTATCCACAGCCAGGATCAGGTCTTCGCGGACTCCATGGACAAGTTTGGCGATAGCCTCGATGTCAGCCACCTTGATAAGAGGATTTGTGGGGGACTCCACCCACACGAGCTTCGTCTCGGGCTTGATGGATTCCTTGATGAGCTGCAAGTTGGTGGGATCCACGAAGGTGGCGACGATTCCCAGGCGGGTAGCGACCTGGCGGATCAAACGGTTGGTGCCTCCGTAAACATCATCGCCCACAATGATGTGATCGCCGCTGTTCAGCATGGTCAGCACCGCGGTGGTTGCTCCCAATCCTGACGAGAAGGTCAGTCCGTACTTGGCATTGTCCAAGGCAGCAAAACAGGTTTCCAGCACATTCCTTGTGGGATTGCCACTCCTGGAGTACTCGTAACCTCTGTGCTCACCGGGCGCATCCTGTTTGAAGGTGGTGCTCAGGGAAATCGGTGGGATAACCGAGGCACTCTTCCACTGCTCGGGGCTCTGGCCGGAGTGGATGGACTTGGTGGCGAAGCCGCTGGGTTGGGGTTTGAAGCTCATTTCGGGACGCGGACGGTGGGCAACTGACACGTGGAGAGATGGGTCGCGAATATATACGTCCAGAATCCCGGGACCATATCAGCTGTGAGAGTCAGCTGTAAGGGGGTCACACTGTTTTGCTCCAGTGTTTCCATCAAATCGTTAGGCGCCATTTTTGAACTGCCGGTATCGTCTTTTGCCACCGATTTTGTTTTAAATCGAGTTATATCTTGATTAAGTTTTAATATAATTTGATTCTTTAATAATCGACTATTCCATTAAGAATAATGTATAAATAGTTATTTTTTGATCAATCAACCGTTATGTAAATTACAATTTCAACTTAAAAGTAGGCACGATACTGAACAAAGAGACTTCTCCGGAATGCGACAAGGATTAGGGACTTCATGGGAGTGGAAGGAACTCCAAGTGGTCCTGTCTACCACAATTTGTCGTTGAATACGATTTCCTTGAAGATACAGTCCTGTTTGGCAATGCTGACCATCGCCTTCTTGGACTTCATCGCATCCTGCACCTTCTCCCGAACCTCAGCCGCCTTCACGTCGTTCCTGATGTAGAAAAGTCGCACCAGATGGTCTTCGTTAAGGGAAGGATAACTGCCGAGCAAGGTGTGCAGATCCAGGACCAACAATTCAATGTCTGAACTGAGCAGGGCAGACAGAGTAGATATCAGGTCGAGTGGAGAGTCGCTGAGCGATATTTTGGGAGCTATTTTCTCGAAGAAGAGCTTGAAACGCTTGGCCTCGGCTTTGATCTTCCGGGTGATTGCCTCAATCTCGGTGCGCGGCTTTGAGAGCCGCTTGGAGAGCAGTGCTCGGATGTAGCGCTTGGCCAGCAGCTTCTGCGCCTCGTTGATCACCATCTCAAAGTTGTTCGGCCGCAAGTGGTTGTAGTCCTGGAAATAGTCGTCCAAAGTCACACAGATGGTATCCACAGCGATGTTGCTGGCCAACCACTTGGCTGTGAAAAGATCGTTGAAATGGCACTCCATATCCAGGAAGGCCTCCTCCAGAAGATAGCTGGCCGCATGTGCTCGTATCCTTTGGAACGTGCCCAGGAGCCGTTCAAAGTCCTCATAGTGCTCCGTACGGGACTTGGGCCAGTAGAGCTGCTTCATCTGCTGCGCCAATTCCACCATTTGCTGGCTGTTGTTCACGATGGTTATGATGTAGTGCGTGAAGTACTTTATCTGATCCCTGTTGCGGAAGTGGTGCTCCTTCAGCTCAATTACGTTCTTCAGATAGGTCTGGCCAAAGATTTCCACCTGTTGAATGCTCATCACCAGCGCCTTGAACGTCAGTTCCTGGTGGATGGTGTTGGTAACCTGCAAATGCTGGTCTATCATCTGGAAGATGATCACCGGAGCCGAGGTGTGGTAGTAGTGCTCGTCTTGATCCGGTACCATCTCAGAGAACCATTCTTGCTTTTCCGTCTCCGCTGCCTTGGTCATCCATTCCTGGTAGTTGCGCTGCATATTCTGCAGGTACTCATCCTCCAGGGCCTTCAGGTGCTCCGGTCGCAGCAGGGGACCAATGAGCTTGTGCACATCCACGTTGAGATCGGGGTGAGTCATCAGCTCTACACCCGGATATGTGTGCGTGACCCAAGCTAGCATAGAAACGTATTCATTTCCCTCCAATCCAGACCGCACAATGTTGTCCAGCTGAAAAATATATAACTTATAAGACCTTGGATCTTAACATATAAAGAAGTATTACTCACATAGCTGGACAAACCCTCATGGTAGAATTTGACATACTCCCCGAATATGTCATAGTGCGGCGGGAAGCAGGGCACGCAAAGGGACTTAACCACCCGAAGGTCCTCCAGAATAATCTGGCGCAGGATTTCCAGGTCTCGCACCAACCACATCTTGTTGTCGGCTCGCTCCTCTAGCTTGGAACCCTCGATCCTAGTGACAACCGACTGTTGAAGCACTCCCATTATCATCTTTCTCCAGGCTTTTGGCCTGCCTGGTGGCAGAAATCCGGTGACCTTTTGCTGCTGCAGAGCGAACTGGTCATTCTTTTCCTCGCGCTCTATAATCCTCAAAGAAGTGACTATAATCGTTGGTTTTTTCCGCAACGTGTTCAGCGTTCGACTGATGATGAGGCGCAGCTTCTTCTCGAGCTCTTGGGAGACGGTGTCAACCTTTTCAAAGTGACGCTTCAGAGTGATCTTATCGGAGGCGTGTTGCTTGGGTTGCTTGTGCAGCTCGTACAGAAGATCGTCCCGGGAGTTCTCCAGATCGGCGAGGCACTGATGGGCGTTGAGCAGCTTATCGTCCTCGATAAGCGCCATCGTCTTCTGCACACTGGCGTCCACGTTAAAGATGTGCTTCAGATTCTCCATCGCGGTGGCGTACTGCGAGTGCTTCGTGTTCTCCTCCCTCACCACCTCCAGGGCATCGTACACTTCTGGTACGCCCTGGAGTAGCCGTTCCACCTCGCCCATCCTCTTTCGCACCTCCTTGACATCCTGCATGCAGGTTTCCAGTTGTTTCAGCCCCACTCTTACGCCATCTAGTTGGTTTTGCATTCCGGTCTTGAGGAGCGCCTCTACGGAGGCCTTCTTGCGGGCAATACGGTGTCGGTATTGCTCCACCTTCTCCAGTTGCCCGGGTCGCTGCAGCATGTTCTGAATATCCTTCAAGGCCGCCTGGCGGGCCTCCTCCTCCAGCTGCTGCAGGTCCATTACGTCCTATTTTGTATTTTTTCCTTCGATGTTTTGACTCAATCTTCGCCAGCGGTGGGCGTTTCAGTGCGACCGTTCCTCACCATGTCGGAAATACCAAGCGGAGGAAACTACAGTGGAGATTCGAAATGAAGGAATAAGGGTAATACATATAAGTTTTTATGCAAATACTGTTTATATTTTAATCTTCACAGGTATGTATTTATTTTAAATTTATTATTTAAAATAATTACTTTCTTATGTAGGAGGGTTCCACTGTGGTGTCGATAAAAGCTTTCTACCCGTCTATCGCCATCGAAGTCTTTGTTTATTTATTTTCAGACCAACATCTCAAACGTAAACAACGCCTCTCGAAGATGAGTCTGCAAGAAGAGACTATTTTGCAGTTTGCACCATGGGAATCCTTCGTGTCACCCACATTCTGGCACAAACTGGCGGAAGTAAAACTGGACCATGATCGTCTCTCGGATACTAAAAGGTCCATCAGTGGACACTACACGAATCGCAACGCCTCCGGATGCCTCCTGGAGGTGGACTACACGGCCTACAATAGGTACATATAATCGAATTCTAGTTGGCTTCCAAAATCAATAATCAACCCGCATTTCAGATCAGCCCAGCCACCAAAATTCAGCCACGCAGCTGTCGGAACTATTTACAATAAAAACACCATTGAAGAGTTCAAGGCCCTGGATAAGGTGGCGTTGCTGGCGGATGAGGGCAAGGAACTCGTAGCTGATATGCGCAGTGGTCGGGTGCTGGGGGATCCGAGTCTTCTGACCCGCTTCTTTGTTCTCTCCTTTGCTGATTTAAAGTCCCACAGCTACTACTACTGGTTTGGCTTTCCCTGCCCTCTCACACCCACCTTGAAGCTCCAGGGTGGAGTCCAAAAGCTGCGGGATGTCCCCAATAGCCAAAAATACAAAGAAGCTTTGAAATCCCTGCCAGCCGAGTCCCAAGCCTTCTTTATTCTGTATGTGAACGAGAAGGAAAATGTCTTTGAAGCCCGAAAATTAAATACTTTGGATGAAAAAGATGTGGAACACTATTACTTTGGCTTCGCAGATCCCAGCGAGTACGATCACCCGGCCTGGTTGATGAGGAATTATGCTGCCTGGTTACTGAATCATTGGTTGGTAATTGAATTAGTCAAGTGCAACGCAATGCATTGAATCGATTTATCTTGCAGCCCCTCGTTTGTCGGAAAGAAGCTCAGGTTTCTGGGCCTGCGTTACAATCAAAAAATGGAGGTGGATGACAGCCGCATCTGGGAGGTGATCCAAACAGAGAACTGCGATCTAGCGGATACCACGGAGCTTAAGTTCGTGGGCTGGGAGCTCAATAAGAATGGGAAAATGGGCCCCAGAATGGTCTGCATGAGGGACAGCATGGATCCGGCCAAGTAAGCTCCAAGCCCAAGTAACTTAGTTGATATCCATTATCAGTGACATGCGACAGCTACGTAGATGCATTGTTTGATATTTACATTCTTATCTAGTCATGTTTGTGTTCTTTTAGACTGGCTGAGAACTCTGTGAACCTTAACCTGAAGCTAATGAAGTGGCGCCTGGTACCTGATCTCAACCTGGAAGCTATCTCCCAAACTAAGTGCTTGCTCTTTGGAGCTGGTACCTTGGGGTGTGCTGTGGCTCGAAATCTACTGGTGAGCTTTAAAATAGTTGAAACCCACATTTCTCTAATCACTTTCCAACTTTAAGTCATGGGGATTCAAACACATAACTTTGATGGACAACGGCAAGGTTGGATTTTCGAATCCAGTGCGTCAGAATCTGTACACCCACGCAGATGCGGTAGCTGGAAACAGGATGAAAGCCACAACAGCAGCAGAAAGGCTCCGGGAGATAAATCCAAGCGCTGAAACTGTGGGACATGTTCTGGAAATACCCATGCCCGGTCACACAATCGGAGAATCGTTGCGTGCCCAAACGGAGGAGCATTTGAATCTCATTGAAAAAGCAGTGCGGGATCATGACGTCGTGTTTCTACTTACGGACTCACGCGAGAGCCGGTGGCTTCCCACGCTACTCGGAGCGGCTTCTAAAAAGGTGTGTGTTGTTTGCAGATTAAATAATATTCAACTAATTGAATGCATTTGTCAGGTGGTCATTAATGCGGCTCTGGGCTTCGATAGCTACCTGGTCATGCGACATGGAAGCACTCGCGACGATTCAGGCGATGGTGGTCAGGAGATTGATGGACTGAAGTGCGTCCGCGGCAGTCAGTTGGGATGCTACTTCTGCAATGATGTGACCGCCCCCGGAAATGTAAGCTCCACTAAGTATAGTGTTAGGATATAGCACATTTATTTATAGATTTTCAGACTATTAGTTAGATCACTTGTTGTTAGACGCATTCGTAGTCATGGCGGGAATACTTCTCAAAGGCGGTGCAGGTGGGATCTCCCGTTTGCAGATGATCCACACCGGTTATCTGCACTACTAGCCCATTAATGCTAGTCACCTTGAAACCCACAAGGTTGGTCATGGCATTTGGTGTACGCCAGGCGTAGCTAAAGAAATTGTAGCCATCAACGGCAGTAAGGACTTCTCGTTCCGTGAAGGCCAAGGCCAGCTTGAACTGCTGATTGAACACGAAGGGGAAGCCCCCATGTCGTTCCTCAGTGCCAAACCTAGAAAGAGATAACTTATATATCCAATCGTCAGTTAATTATAGACTTTACTTACTGGAAGTTCCGGTCCATTGAGTTTCTCACCACAGCCTTGTCGTCAAATCGCACGCTGAAGTGCAGCTCCTCGCGCTTGGTGTCCGAGTCCATGAACTTGATGATGAACTGGCCCTTTTTGTTTTCAAAACAACGGGCGGTTATAACGATCACATGGCCAGGACTAAACAGGATAGGGACGTCGTTGCTGAAGGCTTTGAAGTAGTCGGAAGCGTGGATGGCAGGCCAGGGATTCGGGAACACGGTGCGATGGTCCACCTGCTTGATGACCTGAATCTGGTCGCGAATCTCCAGTGCCCTAATTGCACCCAATGGCATTCTGTAGCGGAACTTGCAGAACTCTCTGCTATTTATGGAGATGTGGAAGCAGTCCTCGCAGGCCAGGATGTACACCATGAAGAATTCGCCACTCACGATGGGATTCGGCAGCGTAATGTTGTCCTCGACCTGGGTCTCTTCCTCGCCCCAGGAGCCGTTCACCTTGGCATTTCTAACGATCACATCGTTTCGAAAGTAACAGGAGAACCTGAGCCCAATGTCCGCGTCGGGATTCACCGAGGTCTTGGCCGAGCACAGGTTGATGTGAAACCTTGAAAACAAAGTTTTAGGAGCATTAGTCACGGCCCGATAAGAAATCCAGGTTGACAAGTAATTAGTCACATAAAAGGTGTGAAAACGGAATAAGAATCTAGATCCGTATCAGGAACACTCCTTACCTTGCTGCTCCGTCGATCGTCTTGGCCACAATCTCCAGTACATGACCGAACTCCAAGGGATGAGAGAGATTGCCTGCGTATTCCGTTAGCATGTTTCCTGGATATTTGCGTTACCACTTCCAACCGATCACACTATCGGTTTCCCACTGACCGAAAATCGTTTATTGTAGGGCTACGGGAGAGTCCGAGGTTCTCCGGTCCTCCACTCACCCCGGAACTTTATCTAATCAGCGTGCCGACGAGGTGGGAGCAGCGGCAAAACACAGTAACTCAAGTAACCGATAGAACCGCGAACATTACTCAACTTTGTATTTGGTGTATTAGCTCCGCTGTTTATTTTGTTCTGGCCTGGAGACGTCATCTGTGAGTGCCTCGTTTGTTGACACGGGAAAGCTTCGGGCCGGAGCTTTTGCTCTTTCCACTGCACCGGAGGCTAAGCTCATGTACCCTGTCATGTATGTTCCATCTCTTTTTAGTCGCTCAAAGATCGCACCTTGGACCAGCAATGCACCGTGACACGACCTGGAGTATCGAATATCGCAGCGAGCTATGCCGTGGAGCTACTGGTGGCCTTGCTCCAGCATCCGCTCAGGGAACAGGCACCGGCTTACTACGCCCAGAGTGGGAAACCAGGGGAAGCGGACGGCAAGGTGCCGGAAGGTCTGTTGGGTATTCTTCCTCACTCCATCCGGGGAATGCTGTGCAACTATGAGAACATCCTCCCGGCCACTCAAAAGTTTGCTCAGTGCATAGCCTGCTCTAAGGTGGGACATCTTTTTTAATTTTAATTAAATCTAACAAATTATTAAATCATTTTATTTTTAGCCTGTACTGGATGCCTTTAAAAACGAAGGCCATGCCTTCCTCTTTAAAACATTCGAGACAGCCAAGTATCTCGAGGATCTGACCGGCATTTCAGAGTTCACAAGGTTAAATAGCGAGGTGGGTACTTATTATATTTTCTAAATTATTATACCCTTGTGGTCAAGAAGACATCTCCGACCCTATAAAGTATATATATTCTCGATCACGAAAACCTCCTGAGTTGATATAAGCATGTCCGTCTGTCTGTCTTTTGGAAAATGGACAAAAAATCGGAAAAATATATTGTCTCAGGATTTTGATGCAGAATGGTGGGGAATCGATCCAGAAATCGTTTAAGGTACTCCGCTTGAGCATCGGATGCGAATTGGGGAAGATATCGCCATCACAGTGGACCCTATAGGGAAAAAGCCCATTTTTAAGGGATCCCATCAGAAAAATGGACGAAAAATCTGAAAAATATTTTGTCTCAGGGTTTTGATGCAGAATGGTGGGGAATCGGTCTAGAAATTGTTTAAGGTACTCCGCTTGAGCATCGGATGCGAATTGGGGAAGATATCGCCATCACAGTGGACCCTATAGGGAAAAACCCCATTTTCCAGGTATCCCATCAGAAAAATGGGAAAAAAATCTGAAAAATATTTGGTCTCAGGATTTTGATGCAGAATGGTGGGGAATCGATCTAGAAATTGTTTAAGGTATTCCGCTTGAGAATCGGATGAGAAATGGGGAAGATATAGCCATCACAGTGGACCCTATAGGGGAAAACCCCATTTGGAAGGGATCCTATCAGAAAAATGGGAAGAAAATCTGAAAAATATTTTGTCGCAGAATTTTGATGCAGAATGGTGGGGAATCGATCTAGAAATCGTTTAAGGTACTCCGCTTGAGAATCGGATGAGAATTGGGTAAGATATAGCCATCACAGTGGACCCTATAGGGAAAACCCCATTTTCCAGGTATCCCATCAGAAAAATGGGAAAAAAATCTGAAAAATATTTGGTCTCAGGATTTTGATGCAGAATGGTGGGGAATCGATCTAGAAATTGTTTAAGGCATTCCGCTTGAGAATCGGATGAGAAATGGGGAAGATATAGCCATCACCGTGGACCCTATAGGGGAAAACCCCATTTGGAAGGGATCCTATCAGAAAAATGGGAAGAAAATCTGAAAAATATTTTGTCGCAGAATTTTGATGCAGAATGGTGGGGAATCGATCTAGAAATCGTTTAAGGTATTCCGCTTGAGAATCGGATGAGGATTGGGTAAGATATAGCCATCCCAGTGGACCCTATAGGGGAAAACCCCATTTGGAAGGGATCCTATCAGAAAAATGGGAAGAAAATCTGAAAAATATTTTGTCTCAGGATTTTGATGCAGAATGGTGGGGAATCGATCCAGAAATCGTTTAAGGTACTCCGCTTGAGAATCGGATGAGAATTGGGTAAGATATAGCCATCACAGTGGACCCTATAGGGAAAACCCCATTTTCCAGGTATCCCATCAGAAAAATAGAAAAAAAATCTGAAAAATATTTTGTCTCAGGATTTTGATGCAGAATGGTGGGGAATCGATCCAGAAATCGTTTAAGGTACTCCGCTTGAGAATCGGATGAGAATTGGGTAAGATATAGCCATCACAGTGGACCCTATAGGGAAAACCCCATTTTCCAGGTATCCCATCAGAAAAATAGAAAAAAAATCTGAAAAATATTTTGTCTCAGGATTTTGATGCAGAATGGTGGGGAATCGATCTAGAAATCGTTTAAGGTATTCCGCTTGAGAATCGGATGGGAATTGGGGAAGATATAGCCATCACAGTGGACCCTATAGGGAAAAACCCCATTTTCAAGGGATCCCATCAGAAAAATGGACAAAAAATCTGAAAAATATTTTGTCTCATGATTTTGATGCAGAATGGTGGGGAATCGATCTAGAAATCGTTTAAGGTATTCCGCTCGAGAATCGGATGAGAATTGGGGAAGATATAGCCATCACAGTGGACCCTATAGGGGAATACCCCATTTTCAAGGGATCCCATCAGAAAAATGGACAAAAAATCTGAAAAATATTTTATCTTAGGATTTTGATGCAGAATGGTGGGAAATTGATCTAGAAATCGTTTAAGGTATTCCGCTTGAGAATCGGATGAGAATTGGGGAAGATATACCCATCACAGTGGACCCTATAGGGAAAAACCCCATTTTCAAGGGATCCCATCAGAAAAATGGCCAAAAAATCTGAAAAATATTTTGTCTCAGGATTTTGATGCAGAATGGTAGAGAATCAATCCAGAAATCGTTTAAGGTATTCCGCTTGAGAATCGGATGAGAATTGGGGAAGATATACCCATCACAGTGGACCCTATAGGGAAAACCCCATTTTCGAGGGATCCCATCAGAAAAATGGACAAAAAATCTGAAAAATATTTTATCTCAGGATTTTGATGCAGAATGGTGGGAAATTGATCTAGAAATCGTTTAAGGTATTCCGCTTGAGAATCGGATGAGAATTGGGGAAGATATACCCATCACAGTGGACCCTATAGGGAAAAACCCCATTTTCGAGGGATCCCATCAGAAAAATGGATGAAAAATCTGAAAAATATTTTGTCTCAGGGTTTTGATGGAGAATGGTAGAGAATCAATCCAGAAATCGTTTAAGGTACTCCGCTTGAGAATCGGATGAGAATTGGGGAAGATATCGCCATCACTGCGGGCCATATAGGGAAAAACCCCATTTTTCAGGGATCCCATCATGAAAAATGCACAAAAAATCTGAAAAATATTTTGTCTCAGGATTTTGATGCAGAATGGTGGGGAATCGACCTAGAAATCGTTTAAGGTATTCCGCTCGAGAATCGGATGAGAATTGGGGAAGATATAGCCATCACAGTGGACCCTATAGGGGAATACCCCATTTTCAAGGGATCCCATCAGAAAAATGGACAAAAAATCTGAAAAATATTTTATCTCAGGATTTTGATGCAGAATGGTGGGAAATTGATCTAGAAATCGTTTAAGGTATTCCGCTTGAGAATCGGATGAGAATTGGGGAAGATATACCCATCACAGTGGACCCTATAGGGAAAAACCCCATTTTCAAGGGATCCCATCAGAAAAATGGCCAAAAAATCTGAAAAATATTTTGTCTCAGGATTTTGATGCAGAATGGTAGAGAATCAATCCAGAAATCGTTTAAGGTATTCCGCTTGAGAATCGGATGGGAATTGGGGAAGATATAGCCATCACAGTGGACCCTATAGGGAAAAACCCCATTTTGAAGAGATCCCATCAGAAAAATGGGAAAAAAATCTGAAAAATATTTTGTCTCAGGATTTTGATGCAGAATGGTGGGGAATCGATCTAGAAATCGGTTAAGGTACTCCGCTTGAGAATCGGATGAGAATTGGGGAAGACATAGCCATTACTGTGGGCCTTATTGGGATACAATCTTAACCGCAAGGGTTCATGACTTCGGCTCCGCCCGAGGTTAGCTTTCCTTTCTTGTTTCTAAAATATTTTCAATTTACAAATACATTTTTCAGATAATTGACTTTGATGATGATGAATTCGACATGTCTGAGGAGGATGAGGATTGAAACTCCATTTCCATTTATATAACAATAGCTTATGGAGGCCTAGAAATTTCACATTGCAATTTAATTTCGGAATTTATACGCATTTAGAGTCTATTGCCTAAACCAAAAATTTTTGTGTATTCTAATTGTAATTTTCTAGTCATTAAGTAAAGTTTTTTGCATTTTTCAAAACTATTTTAACTATGTGTTTCTAAATAAAGTTACTCTGAATTGAAAAGATTTATACGGTGATTCAAATGGAAACAATTAATAAAATAGAAAAAACATATTTCCGTCAATTTACAAGTCGCAGCCTATTGGCCTTTGAACCATATATAGTATTTATAGGTACTCGCGCTTTCCTACTGATAAGGAGCATCACGCGAAAATATTTTTTCAGATCTGAGAATTCCCAGCTTTTGTGGTTGACAAATATTTGTTTGAGTTTTAACGGTCAATGAAATCGTTATTAGCTGCACTTCTCAAGGCAAAAAAATACGCAAAACCCAAGATGAATGTGCTGATGTTTTGGGAATATGCAAATGATTTACATAGTTGGTTAGCCAAAAGAATAGTTCAAAGGTGAATAAACTTGGCTAGAAAGCCGCGAGCTAATGGTCTATGCTAATCTCGGATTGGAATGTCTACAAATGGGGGTAAAAAACAGCAGATATCTTTCAGATAAAGTTCCAAATATTATTTAAAATGGAGTCTTCATCCTTTTATAATTTCAACCTAAATAATAAGACACTTGTATTTACTAATCAAATATTAAAAATATACATTTTAAGACTAACTCAAACTATATATTATTTCCAATAGCTCTGGGCCAAATAATTCGAGTTGAACAAATATTGGCAAGCGGCACTTGACATACAATTGAAGTAAACATTTCGAAAGGCATTTCATCAGATGACCCCAGGGCACATTTGGGGCTAAGAATGCCAGAGCCATAGAGCCGCCACAAAGGCTCTCGGCCATTTCTCTTGGCCAAGACAATACCAAAAATGCAAATAAGAAAGAAGATCAGCCCAAAGAAAAAAAAAACGGCACGACTCCATAATTAATAGTTGGCTCGGGTGGGGGAAATATCTGGCCGCTCAACCTCGGATCGGATCGGAGTAGCATAAATTTCGAGCCAACTGCGTAAACAAAAACACCTCGAGTGGAATCGAAAAGCGGCTCAAAATGCGATTCGAGCTGAGATGCTCTGCCGGCGTCGATTTTTGTCACTCGAATTGCGTTTTGAGCCAAAAAGGGGTTTTGCTGGCCAAGATCTCCATAAATTGGTGAAAGATATCCAAAACCGCACACAAACTAAGTGGCGCGCATCCAAGTGGCAGCTATCCTCGTGAAAAGTCTCTAAAAAGTGCAAGTTGAAGTCCTGAAACAGAAAGTCTACTTTAAAAAGTGAATCTTTTATAAGTATTTTAAATAAGTTATTCAGTTCTTAATAATAAAAAAGTGTGCAAAAACAAAAAATTAATAAAATGGTAAGTCCTGAGTCCTTGAGGGCTTAGATTGTTAAGAAGAAATAGGGTCTAGTCTATTGTTGTTTATAAAATAGAAAGGCTTTAAGTTTTAAAAAACGGTTTAACCTTTTAAAAACTAAAAGGTAATATTTTTTTTCTCTGCACTTTTCCTGATTCCATAATTTGAAAAATGCAATCTCCAGTTTAGTGAACTCTCCACCGTTTGGCTTTGAAAATTGCCTCCGGCTTTCAGTTTCAGACAATTTTCTTTTCCAAACTGTTTGTTTATTTCATATTGACGCAAATAGTGGTCCACAGAGTTTTATTTTTTTGGCTTTGACTTTGCCATTGGCCTTAACTTGTTGCGAAAGTGGCTGCCAAGCTGGCAGTTTCAGTTTATGCTTTTTGGCCATTGCCGAACTATGTTTTTTTTTCAAATGTGGCATGTGGCACCCAGGGTGAAAACGGTTAATTGCAGGGCTTTTAAAAAAGTTATAGCCTGGTTGTAATTGCAGTTAGCATGGAAAGTAGTTAACCAAGCTGAGGTTTTTTTTTTTGGAAATTATGTAATGCATTTTCAGTGGCTTTTTAAAATGACATTTTTAAAAGAGCTTCTCAAAAAATTAAATTGTTTTAAAGAAAGAAAAACAAAGGAATCTTTATTCTTTGTTTTTATTAAGAACTTTTAAGGAGAAAGTTAGGTCAATTGGCAGGTCATTTGGGTCAATTAGTCATTATCTGAATCTTCTGAAACACAAAGAAGTGACAGATACTTTACAAGATTTAAGGGCTTTATGACAAATATTCGGCAATTAAACAGAATTATCACTTACTTACCTGAAAGTAGGCAATGAATTTTCACTTTTTTTCTAAAAAAAAGTATCTGAATCTTTTATTGCGACTTTGAATTCCGATTTAGCCAACTTTGACCTCGTTAGGGGAGAAAGTTTGAATTTGTTTTGGTAGAATTTGAATATGTTTACAAAACAAGGAAAATATGGTAAATTATGATAAGATGGTGTTTCAATTTGGATGGTAAAACCCCAAAGGACCCGTATGTTTTGTTTAAGAAAAAATTACCGTGATTTCTTAGATCTTCGAATGCGTCAGCAGCTAGATTCATGCAAACCAAACCAGCTAGCCCCTATCAAAAAAATAAAATATTTGGGCACGGGCTGATAATCAAAAATTTGTTTTTTATTCGCCAAGCCATCCCATTAGAACGCCATTAACCTCTGGACCAGAATTTCAGGCGCATCTGTTGAACCCCTCCTGGCAACATTCGAGCTTTATTTTATATATGTTTAAATGGGCAAATCTCCCTCCCATATGAAATTGATAGCGATAATCACTGGCGTCGGCTTCTGGTGTTTTTTTGTTATTGTTTTTGACTTTTTTCATGGATTTACGTATGATCCGTGTAGATTATATAGCTGGAGCAGGGGAGACAAATCTCCAGAAACCGGGGTGTCAGTTCAGTTGGGTTTGCGATCCGTGGTGGAGCGTGTGTGCTTGATTTCAGATTTCCAGAATCAAAATCAATATTCATATTAATACAGAATCCAATCGGAAACATATAATATATCAGCTATCAGCCTATCAGCAGCATCGATCATAGAACGTAATTCATCTAAATCAATTTGAGAAATGATCTCTATAGGCGGTAGTTTTCCACTTCGACTTATGCCACCTCCCACTTCCAGGTCAATCAGAGCAAGCCCAAAATGGCCCTGTCCAAGATCGATTCGGAGATAGAGCAAGTGGACCAGGAGAAGTACCTGCGCCAGGCCACCAACTACTATCAGGCGCTGGAGAAGCCCCTCAAGTACGGTCCAGTGGTGGAGACTCTTCCGGACTTGATTGCCGCCCTGCACCGGGAGTTCGAGTCCAACTACGTGAACATTGAGATGGTCAATCACCTGATGCTCTCCTACAAGTCCAACGAGCGGGAGTGGCGCAAGTACGCCAAGTTCGATCGTTATAGCTACACCCGCAACCTTGTGGACGCTGGCAACGGCAAGTTCAACCTGCTGATCCTGTGCTGGGGCGAAGGTCATGGCTCGTCGGTGCACGACCATGCCGATTCCCATTGCTTCATGAAGATGCTGAAGGGAGATTTGCGTGAGAAGCGCTATGAGTACCCCAATAGATCTGGCAGGGACACGGCCCGTACCCATCATCCTGATGGGGAGATCGATAGCCGTGAGCTGGTGGAGATCGGGGAGACTCCGATAGCCGTCAACGATGTGGCCTACATCAATGGTGAGGAGATTAGAAATTACGAAAGGGGGCCTCCCACTAACTATTCGATTATTTTCACAGATAACCTTGGCCTTCATCGCGTGGAGAACCCCAGTCACTCGGATACCTCCGTCTCCCTGCACCTCTACTGTCCGCCCTTCGACACCTGCTCGGTGTTCCAGGACAACTGCAAGAAGAGCACCGCCAAGGTCACCTTCTGGAGCAAGTACGGTGTAAGGACGAAGCTGGACGAGCAGTAGATCCTCCAAACAGGCAGAGCTCATTGGCCAGCAGCCTGAAGCCAGATCCCCAAATACAATTATTGTTGCATATTGCTAAGAATCTTTATTATTAGATATTTAATGTGCTAGGGCCTAAGCGGTACCGGGAGATGGAAATTCGGAAAACGGCGATCTATTGGAGGGCCACGTAACCACTGAAGGCGTTGATAACCCTCTCCGATAAGCAGTCCCAGTTTCCTTTTGCCGTATCTTTAGTTTTAGTTGTGTACCAAAAATATTCAATACATAATTTTATCATTGACAACTCCTCGAATGGCGTATTCATTGCATCCAGGGGGGGAAAGTGTATATATAATTTGGATTTTAGGATTTTTAATAGTACCGATCATGCGTCTGCGTTCATTCCCATGGATCGGGATCGCCTGGGAGGACCTCGGTCCAAGGTCTGCTTGATCGATTTGAGCAAACCAGGAATCAGGTTGATGTGCTTCTCCACGCAGTCGCCCGTACAGTTCTCAAACAAATGCTGGGATCGGGACATGTCCCGGTCATTGGGATTATTTGGCAAACTGGACCTGGCGTCGGCATTGCAATCCTGTGGAGCAAATATGGTATAGCTTTGGTTTCTGGTAAGAAATTTCTTTTCATTAATAGGGGTTTAGTTTAAATGGTTTTTAAAAAAGGGATTAACTATGATATTAATTCAAAAACTATCTTCAAAGAAAGTATATCTTATCTTTATTTTTTATGCATCTTTGGATTTACCATTGGATTGAAAATAAACATTAAAAATGTAGCAAAAACTTGTATGGAATTACAAATATCCTTTAAAAAACTATTTAGTTTTCGTCAAAACAAAGGACAAAGATTCCCTTCATGTACATTTTTTTGGAAAATGAAAATTTTTTTCTAATGAGATATAATCAAACTCTTACCCTGACACAGTTCTGGAGACGACTTTGAAACTGTCCCAGCTCATGCTGCAGGTAATTCTGGGCATCCATCAATGGAGCAGCACACTTCTCAATGCAGTTTTGAACGCTCTCCAGTGTCCCTCGCTCGTCGTCACAGCACCGGGCAGCGCAAATGTGCATTTTTGACTTTAGGATCACCATAAATTTTAAGCCTACTCCGGAAGATGATGACCATCTCGCTTACCTGCATTCGGCGCAAGTGACTGCGGTACATGTCCTCGATCATGTCGCTAATGGCATTCTCGAGGCGTTTCTTCTGCTGTTCCACCATTACATTAACGGAAATTTAATAATTTCGAACGAAATAAACACGATGTCGCCTTGACAGATTTCGGTGTACAATGTGTGTATATTTTTTTACTCTTAAATGTGATAGGAAAATGTAACATGATTTGGAAGATTCCAAGCACTTTTGCACGAAAATTAAAAATAGGATCAACAATTAAAGGATGGTCAATTCAATTGGCTTAGACTTGAGGAATTCCGTCGGGTCCCTTTGAGAGTACTTGTTTCATTGTCTTCATCATGCTGGGGATAAGACCCACGTGCTTGTCGACGCACTGGATGGCACAACGTTCGAACTGGTCGGTGTATTTGGCTATTTGGTCCTCGTTGGGGTTGGGCGGCATTTTTACTTTTACATCGTCGTTGCATTGCTACAATTAAGATTGGTTGATAGTACTTTATATTCAAGATAACAGGGATTGTGTTGATGAAATGGGCACTTACCATGACGCAACGCTGCAGTCTGCCTTGGAATTCCCCCAGTTCGTGCTGCACATAGTTTTGGGCCCGTGTCATGGGCGCGGAGCAGCGATCCACGCACCGCTGGACGCTGTCCACGCTAGAGGTTCCATCCTGGCAGCACTTGGCCGCGCACAAGTGCATCTCGTTCTGCAATTGGAAAGTACAAAGCTGTAGTTGGGTTTCTTCAGTGAATAGTGAATGGAACCTACCTGCATTTTGCGGAGATGAGTCTTGTCCATGTCGTCAATCATCTCCGTCACTGCGGATTCGATGCGCTGGCGCTGTTGCTGGATCATTTTGCTAAATTATTGAAAATTGTCTAAAACACGCGATTTCGTAATATCAAAATAAATGCCGGGAGACCTCACACGGTTTTCCAACATTCCCACAACACGCTGCCCAACACTTCTGATGAGGGGTACCACCATTTAATTTTAAATAATAATATAAACATTAAATATAAAAAATATATGACCTACATCACAAAAGGCATAAAGCCTTAAAATTTTTAATTATAACAAAATATTAATAAAAATTCTTTTTAAATAATATATTTCAAAAATATATTTTCCAACATATGTTTTCTTCTTCTTTATTAGTGTTTTACAACACTGTCTACCCTGAATGGTCATTTGCTCCGGTTCTTGTGAGGATTTGTAAATTAAAACCATGTCCCTGCTTCACAAACTGAGCCGATCGGCGCTCCAGGTAGTTTCCGCCACCAGCAGGCGAAGGAATCCGTTGCCTATCCGGCTGTTAAGCGGGCAGGAAGGAAAGCCTGCCGCGCCGGTGGAGGAAGTTTCTGTAGAAAACCCGGCTGAGAGCAGCAAGGGAGGATTCGCTCGTGCTTTTGACAAGTACACTGCTCCCGCCACACCGGAGCTTCCCCCGGAGGATAACCAGACGTTTGCCTCTCTCCTGCGCAATTCCAAGTTTGTGGACGTAAGTTCTTCTAATGCATTCACTTTGTTTATGTAATAACTTTCTGGAATCCCCATCAGCTGGGCAGCGCCGAGGGAAAGGTAGTAACTGGCAAGATCTTCCATGTCGTGGGTGATGATCTGTATATAGATTTTGGCTGGAAGTTTCACTGCGTTTGCAGTCGGCCCTCTAGAAACGGCAGGTAAGATTCATCCCAGTCACTTTTCGGTCCTTCAGCCAATTAATCCGTCTTCCTTTCAGCGACTATGTCAAAGGCGCCCGGGTTCGCTTGCGCGTAAAGGATTTGGAGCTGTCAACCAAGTTCCTGGGGTCCTCTAAGGACATTACCATTCTGGAAGCAGACTGCCATCTTTTGGGTCTCATTTCCTCGCCCACCCGGCAAACAACCGCCAGGTCTACGCCCAAACTAGAAAATATTTTATAAGTTGTCTTTATTCTAAACGAGTGCATTAAAACCAAGGTTTGTTAACTGTTACGTCAAGTCATCCTCGTTTGTGGTAAACTGGAACACCTCGAAGTGGTGGTTGAGCTCCTTTACAGAGTGAAGCTGGAAGCGGGTGGCTAGAGCCCCGTTGTCGGACGGCCGCAGGAAGAAGACTCTCTTCGCTCTGCTGTGAACCAAAGCCATTGAGCACATCAGACAGGGCTCTTGCAGGAGATAAACATCGTAGCCAGTGCAGAGATATGGTCCGAACTTGGACAGATTGTCGTCTCCTTGAACTTCCTCCATCTTTTCGTTACGCCGAGATTTCTCTGCTCCAAAATTCAGGTCCTTATAATCGTCGTTCTTCGTCAGATAATCGTAGTAGCTTTTGGGCAGTCCGCTAAGAATAGCTTCGCTACTGGTTAGGTCTTCGGCAAAGCTTAGATTTGTATCCATCGCTCCACCTTGCTGACTGCGTGCCACAAAATCTACAAGAAGCATGCTGCAGTGCTCATGTGGGCTCTGTGCTTCGCCAGAACCGGCGATGGCCACTATGCTGGGAGTTCGCGGGTCAACACAGATGCCCACCGGTCGACCGGCATTCAGGTTTCTAGATAGCTTAACCAGCAGCTGGGCCATGCGCTTGTGGAAGATGCGCTGACTCGCTGTGAAGTTTGTGCCATTTCGAAGCGATTCCGAGTAGTGGTTTGGGTGGAACTTGCAGGGCCAGTGCTGCTGGGTCTTTTCATATTGCACGCGGAGGCGGGGCATCCGCTCAGGTACCTTTACCAGTTTGTTACCCTGGCACAGGGCATGGAGCACGTGCTCCGAGAAGGCGAAGCGCTCCAGGTACTGCTCCAGGGTCTCTGAGGCATCGATCTCCGAGCTGGGACAAATGAGAACATCGCGATCCTGAACCCGTTTTAGGTGCTGGAAGTGGGGCAGCTTCTGGGAGAGTTCCTGGATAACAGCCTGCAGTTGCTGTTTCGTTTCCAGTTGGCAACTGTGGGCCTGGATAAGCGGTATTTCCTGCAAAAATTCATCCGACAAGATGGCCCGGATTCCGAGGATTTCATCGTTGTCCCCTAAGCTGAAGGATTTCCTGGGGCGTTTCTCTGGAGGCGGAAGATCCATTCTCTCGGATTCAGATAGTTTTGTGCCTTGAAAGCCATATCGCAGCCCTGGAATTCCGGTCTCGGTTTCACCATAAGCCAGCTGATTGTGGTGAGTTACAGTTGGCGCCAAGTTTTGAAAAGTGTCGAAGGAGCGCGTATTACAAATTTCATCTGGGGAGCATTCTTTGCTAAAAACTTCAATATTAGTATAAATTTTTGGTAAAAAATGTTGGCATTTTAATTGGAAAACAGAAGATAATAAAGAGACAATGTGTCTGCACGTGTGTTGTGGTTTTTTGTCACTCTACATCGGGTGCGTCGCTATCGGGATTTCGGGGATGATATTTAGTATCGTCCTCTTCGCTATAGCCCTATTCCACTTGGTCCTCCAAACGAAAATAAGGCTCGCTCTTGTGGTGCTTTCGATGGCCACCGCTTTGGTGCATGGACTGAGCATGGCGCTGTTACTCATCGGCACCATGCTGGTGAGTTTGGACCTATTTTTTTGGATTTAATTACCTAAAATATACCTATCGTTTTAAAGGATGTCTGCTGGACCATATTTTTATCCTTCGTGGTTGGGATATTCTCCACTGCGCTTATAATTGGATCCCTGGCGGCACTCTTTTTCGAAACTGAGAATCCTGTCCACCTGGTGGGTGGGGTTATCTTGGCCTTAAGTAAGTTCTTCTTTGATTTTAAACTATAATTCTATAATTATATAATTACTGTTATTATCGTTCATAGTTCAGATATACTTCATGTGGATCATTATATCCACTTGGTGGTGCTGTCGATCGTGTCGCAACGACTGCTAGTTGTAAAATGTATAAATATATAAAATAAATATATAAATTACTCAAATATACGAATTTAATAGACACTTTTTGATTTATATATTAAATCTATTTGGGGTCGGCTTTTGGTCCTTTTTAAAAGTTCTTAAAATAGGGAAATATTAAAACTTAATTTAGAAAAGTTAACAGAGTTTTACACTTAAATATTTGCAAAAATTAATGTAAAATAATTGTAAAGTGTTTTTAGTAGACTAAAATGATTTAAAACTTGAATGTTTGATACTATTGAAATTGAAATTGAGAAATTTCGCGCGGAAAATCCATTTTTTGACGTTTTCCAACACATAAGCGGGACTCCAACAGGTTAAAAAAAAATACTGTATAAAAATACAGTATTTTACTGTAAAGTCGAGTATTTTACTCGAACCAAGTTTGAGTTCGGAGCAATTTCTTACGATCGCCAAGTATTCGTCGGCTCCCAAAGTATCTCCAAGATCGTCCGAAATTCATTCGGTTTGTGTACTTCTTGGGGCTGGCAATGGAGCAAGCGGCTCCCCCAGCGAGTGAGAGTGTGCGTGCATTTCGCCCCCGAGTCCCGTGGCGTGTTTAGAGAAATAATAAATGCATATTGTACCACGTATATTCGAAAAAAAAAAATATAAAAAAATACCCAAGTGTTTGTGAGTCGAGAGTGTTTTACTTGCCGCAATTAGAAGTAACGGTGCGAAGGTGATTTGCACGGGAGAAACTGGAAAATCAGCGAAGCGCGCCGCCCGCCGCCTATCTAGATACTTGTATCTGCAATTTGTGGGCTTTTTTTCGGTTTTCGGTTTTTGTTTTCGTTTCGCAACAAGTGGAAAAGGCCATCAATTTAATTCAATCAACGGCGATCAGCGGCGGCCAACCTGAGGCATTTTCCGCGTGTGTGGCAAGCGTAGGTGGAGGATCCCATCCGATCCAAACAAAAATTTCTTCGTTCTAAGCACAAACAAATGAGCAGAAACTATTTGTGAGATACAAGTTCGCGAACCGTGAGCCGTGAGCCGGTTTAGTCATCGCCAGAGCTGAGTAGTGCAGCTTTGCGATTTTTATTCGCATTCAGAGACCAGAAACAACAGCTGTAGTGTCGCCGCACCTGGATGTTTGCTCTGCCTTGGAGCTCCACCGGCCGCGATAAGATATCGGCGGTGGCTAGTGAATGTTATATAGTGGAATAAAGAGAATAAATACCAGCAACCTGAATCGGGCAATAAACGGAAAAGAAAATCGCACACAGTTCAGTGCCAGTGTTTTCGTTTCAAGTTAAATTCGAGCGTTTATCTTATCGGCCTGGTCATTGATTGAGCTTTGCCTTTCCGCTCTGCTCCGGGTTGGGTGAAGTCATTCCGCCCGGAGACGTCGCCGTTTGAGATACAATATCTATATCTTCTAATGCAGCAGCCGCAGCTACAGCATTTGCGATAAAAGCGACCTGAACTCGTTGTCTAAATTTAGCCAAAAGCCAAGGAGGAGCCAGAAGACAGACAGAAGCCGGCAGAGCCGGGAGCCGGGGAAACAAGAATACCCCGTAAATCAAGTGAAGCAGAAGACGACCAAGATGGACATAGAATCCGATTCGGACACCTCGGAGCGATGGGAGGACTTTTTTGGTAAGCGGGCGGGATCACTGAACTCCATCGTGAAGAAATGACATGACTCAGGAGCACTGAAAGAAATTTTTATTAAAAAAGCTTAGTTTTTGAGGGTTGAGATGAGAAAACTATTATTTAAAACTAATCTAATTTAATATTTAATTTAATTTTAAATATATTTCCTAAGACTTTCAACCTTAATCTTAAACTTGTATGGTTGGGCAACCGAAGACTCTACGCATTCTCTACCAAGAACCCCCAATATGGACATGCGTGCAAGAACAGACCATCATCAAGTCGGTTGGCTTTCTTGGGATTGCTGCTTTTGGCCCGAACATTCGCGGATTGCATTCGCGGTGGCTCCGTTCCATTTCGTGGCCATAACTGTACAAAAACAAAAACAATAACAGAAACAACCAAAAAATAAATGTATAACCCACTGAGTGGTGGGGAATTGCGTGAATTGCGGTGTAACGGGTTCGCTTTGTTTTTGCATTCCGCTCGGAGCTCAGAGCTCCGAAAAGTCGGTTGTAATGAAATTTAATGATAATACATAATTTCGGGCTTTTGACCCACATTACCATACAAGTGTTGTGGCCACGAAAAAGGTCTGTCTTGAGATTTGCAATTTATGTTTTTGGGTGGTGGTGGTGTTGGCCGAACCACCACAGTTTGCTGACCCACTTAAAATGTAACGCCGATTAAAGCCAATCGTCCCGGCCAGAAAGCAAGCTTGGGGAGTCCAAGCTGCAGTCGGAGCGTTTGCTTTCCTTTTCTTTCCTCCCTCGGAGCTTTCATTCAATTAGTGCATTAGTCATAAGTTTTATGTGACCGTCAGAGCGTGTCGACGATGTGTTGACTTTCTTTATTACTAGTATTAGCAGTGGGTGTTAGATAACACAGCCCCCCAAGTCCAGGCCCCAGGCCCTAAGTGATCTATTCATTCAGATCTCTTGGGGTAACCCATAATTTCACTCAATTAACCAATTAAGTTGGTTTTTTTGTGAAGAAATGTTAAATATAGCTTCCTAATCTTTGCTTTATCCATGTATTTTTAAAATATGTTTCTGCTATATCTTAACTGCTATAAAGAAAACCACACGCCTTGTTCCATGACGATTACGAAACCCGGGATTCCAGGCTTTATTGTTCCAATTGTTTCGTGTGGGCATGATGTGGCACTCGCACCAGTGAATCATGTTAGGAGATTGTGTGCTAACGAGCCAATAAAGGGTCTGTTCTCTACGGATCTCCGAGGCTTAGACATAGTAATTTGTAAACACCGACCAGGCAGAGGGGACCCACCGATAAACCGACTTGTGCAAGTGGCTGACATTTGGATGGTTAACATCCAAACGTGACTGCATCCGAGGCTGCATGTCCAGGGCATTACCGATTGCATCGACCTATAAATAGAACCCAGTGGAAGATATCAGCAGCCAGCAGTTGACCCATCCAGCGTGCCCTATCAAATGTCACTCTTGGCTTTCCCGCTTCATGCTATTTGTTTGTTTTCGCCTCTTGGCTCTGGTCTTGACTCTTCGATTTCCAGGCGGCAGGCAAACAAATAAACATAAAAAAACCTCCCAGATGAAGTAGAAATTTTGTGTGTGTGGACACAAGTGCATGACAGGGCAGGGGCAGGGGCAGAGGCAGAGGCAGGGCTCAGGTCAAGTCTTTGAATTACCTTTCATAACCAAATAAGACGCTGGATAACCACAAACACCACGGGAGTCGAACTGCCGTCTGGGTTCATTCGATATTGTTATTGATTGTGATCTGAGGAAACCTTTTTGGGACCTGCGGTTGCCTCCTCACCTTTCCATGTGACATTTATTTGGCCGGGCTTGGTATGGGCTGAATGCCCTGTTTGGCTTTCATCTTTTGTTTATTCAATAAATACTAATAGATATCGATACCGTGGCCCCAAGGAGTTGATAAGATTCCGCCGCCAACTATAGTATTTATTGACTTTCTGATAAAGCCGACAAGGCCAGGAGGCCTTATACTAGCTGATATACATAGCTTTCTGGTATGCGACTCCCAATTGAAATACCCCGAATGTTAAGAGGTCAGTTCTGCAGTGCTCCACTTCCGCCGCCGTAGGGCAGAAAGGTCTTAATTAAGCCAATTGACAAAGTTCATTAAATTAACCAAGAAGTCATGAAATGGGTTTCGTAATCGGGCCGGGTTCATTGGCCAAGTAGCATTACCTCATCCATCTTTCGGCCTGTCGGAAACTGATTGAGCCTACTGAAAATATTTAAAATTTCTACAAAGTTATGTCTTCGAAAAGGCCATGTAGTCGTGTCTGCACTTTGGCCATAAGGCTTCCCCTCTAATTGCCTTCAGACTCTTGGCCAGACTTCAGTTATGGTTATGGAGTGGAAGTGGAAATGGAAGGCATATCCCAGAACCAGACCAGACCCGAAGCTGAAGCTGAAGTGATCTGTGTGTGGGCCGCCAGTCGGCGTTTGTCTGACGTCTGCTGACGTCTGTGGAAGGCTCTCAGCACCACTTGAGTCGACGGTTCTCTAATTGCATTTCTCTCAGTGCAATGGGGCTTTCGTTGTGGGCGTTGCAGAAGGTCGTAAAACCCGGAGTATTGTGCACGCACGTCCCGAAAGGTTTTTCTCAATGGAGTGTCTAGTCGTAGATACTCTAACCGCTATGGGTTGTTTGAAAATTGAATGCCAATTCGGAATAGTCATAACGAGAGCTGATTTTACGATTATTGATTAAATCCAGTAGTAAGGATAGTAATTTTTATTGATTTTTGAGTGCTATAATCGTAAAGAGCTAGATCTAGTTTAAAGACTTGTTTAGCTCTATTCTGGTGTTTAAGGAAATCATATAACAATGATCCATAAAACTTTATTGGAGCATAGATATATGAAAAAATTGATAATAAAAAAAAGCTTAAGAAGTTATAGCCAGAAAGAGTATTTGGTTCTGATTGCCTGTCATAAGTGGGATTTTTTTTAACGTTGTTGGGGGAACTTTGGCTTTAATGAACGCTCTGGAGCTCACAATTCTATTTGGCAGCAGATTTACAACTTCCTTGCTCAAAATGCCATTTGCTTTGGCAATTTACGCCCACTGTGCCAGGATTTGGGGGGGTGCGCCGGAGGCGGAGTGGGCGGGGCTTATCTGCACTGACATGCACTTAAGCTGCTTAGAACCTCATATCGTGATATATATACATGTGTCTGTATGGGAACAGTAATACTCACCGATCGTGAGTCACTTGAAAAATCGAAAGAGAGTGACGGCTATATATGGGAGGAGACCTGGGAACAGTTGTGTTATCAGCTTGGGATTTCTTTTTCTAGTGAAAGTCATCGCTCTCGCTCCCGGGACCCCCACTTTTCATTCCATTTCACTGAGCAGGCACGCATGCTCCATAGTGGTGGTGGTGGGAGAGAATCTTTCACGCTCGGATGCATGCTTTGCATCTGACTCCATCTCACTTGCTCCCCTCGGCCCCTCGGCCCACTACCTCCCGCTCTCGCACTGACACACTTTCGCTTTCTTCGAATGAATACTGACATAATGGTTCATTTCCATCCACGATTTACATTAATATTGAATGGTTATTGATCCGATGATTGCCGGGGGGGATGGTATTAAATATTGTCAATACAATTATCTTTATGGCTCCAGATAAGAGCGTGTAAAAAGTATAATTCAAAAGCCTATAGATCTCTCTTGACAAGTGAAACCGAAGCACTATTTCGTTGATTAATTATCCCCCATGCTGGCGATTCGACCTATGGAATTGGGTCAATGCAAATGCCAAAACGGAAAAAGCAGCGGGAGCTGATGGCCAACTTTCTTGGCCGAACGGCAGGGGTTGGCCTAAAACTGGGACTCAAGGTCAGCGCATTGCCTAGTATTTACGATCATTAGTGAGTTGCCAAACACTTTCTATAAATCGCAGAACCCAACAACGCCATTTTGTGTTCCCAATGACTCATTCCCTACATTTTTTATGGCTCGTCATAAAATGCGCATTAAAAATTCAAATAGACCATTTCAGGTGCTTAGATCTTTTCGTTATTCGTAAATAAAGCCCCAAAATAGCCAGCTAAATTGTAAAATATTTATTAGGTGAAAATTTCAACAAAAAAGGTGATATTTTCTAAGGCTATGAAATGAATTTCCGGATTGGAAAAATGCTTAACAATGGCGCTTTATTTAATTTCCATACAATGGAAGTTGTAGACTTGTCGAGGTAATTCCTAAGCAGATATTTAAATTATTTGCTACATTTAATTATTTTCTTCGTCCAATTACAGATGACATTGATCTATGGCATTGAAGCTTCATAATGACTTACAGTTCTGAAACGAGGTGTATTCACATTTTATTCATTTTTTGAACCAAGCACTTGTAACGAAGTTTCTGGCCCGACAACCTTCGGATGTCAGCGACTGCTTTACATTGAGACGCTGTTTTTTTTTTCAAAAATACCTCCCTGACTCTGGGCGTGTGTGTTGTAAAAAATGCACAACTCAAAAAATAAAAAAAAACAATAATAAAAAATTATAAAATCAAAGATACATATTGAGGTGAGGAAAAAAATTTCCTTTCAGTAACTGAGATGGTTCTCAGGTTTCTCACTGATCGTTTTGCCAATTGAACAAAACAAATGACTGGGGGACATTGTTTAAATATTCATAAAATTGTTTACCTTTAACCAAACATGGACAAACACAGCTGTTTGGCTTTTTGGCCAAAAAACCACAACCAAACTCCAAGTCAAACCAAAATAAATTGCGTTAGAATTGTGTTTATTTTCCTCTCAAAGCCGAACAAATGCAAAATTCTGTGAACCGAAAACAAAACACAGAAAATATGTTGTTCAACAGGTTTCTTACATATTTTTTTATTTATTTTTTTCTGCTTTGTTTGGCTTATAAGTTCAAAAAAATTAAAAAAAAAATACCAAGCGAGAGAAAAACGTGAGCAGCCGCGAAAAGCAAACAATGAGAAGCGAGAACTCAAGCTTTGTTTAG